CACCTTCAGGCCGTCCGGATGTAGCATACAGGTTTTTTCTTCGTACACTTCGAGACGACCGCAATAACCGCGGACAAAAAGAAAGAAAAGGCGAAAAGTTCTTTTTTGGTTGCTGCGTGCACGCCGTGGCCCGAGCTGCCGCATCGACGGTCAGACGCGGCTCACGCAAAAGAGGTGGAGACGTATTTTAGAGCTGTGATTTGAGCCACGCACGCCTCGTTCTGTCGCCTCGCCGCTTGGGCACAGAAAGAATTTAACGAACACAACAAAAGAAAGAGGCGAAAATCAAATTCTTTTTGCACACTGGGCGCGGGTAAAATTCTTATGCTTCGAATTTTTCAAGACTCAGAGCACTTTCACTCACATGTCAGAAGGACTCTCGGGACTGTCACGGTACTCAGCGCCCTCTGCGCCCCGCAGAGCACAGCCATCTCCCCCCGTGTAGGTCCTCGGCGGCTTCATGGACAGTCACAGTGTACGTACGGCTTGCGGCTCGTTGGCTTGCGGGAGTCGCCCCCGGGGGCGCGGGGGGAGGGGTCCAAGCTTCCCCGCGCGCTGTTCGCTCATCCGCGGAGAGCGGCCGGCTTCAGCGCGTTCTGCAGCATCTTGGCCGGGAGGCCGAGGCGTGCGAGGGCGGGGTGCACCTCGTTGCGCACGAGATGCTCCGTCACCACAGACAAGTCGGCAATCCACGACCCGCCGGCGAGCTCCACGCACATCTCGGTGCAGCGCGCGAGCTCGAGGAGCAGCAGCAGCGAGTCCTCGACGAGGGCGAGCTCGAGTGGGTCGGCGCGGCCGCCCGAGAAGAGCCAATGGACCTGCGCCTGGAGCAGGGACACGAGCCGGACGGGCAGCGCCAGATCGAGCAGCGGGTCGAGGAGGCGGCGCGGCGCAGCGGGATGCGCGACGGCGAGGCGCGAGAAGAGGCGCAGGGCGGCGCAGCTCTCTCGCGCCTCGGGCCGACCTCGCTGCGGCCAGCCATGCCGACACCCCTCTCCGCCGACCGCGCTCCCCTCCCCGTCCTCCCACCCCTCCGCATCGAGCTCCTCGGGAAACGCGCTCGCCACCGCCGCCCCACGGGCCGCCAGCCCGACAGAGTCGGCTCCACACCGCGGCAGGGCGGACCCCCACCCGTCGCCGCCCAGCGCAGCGCCCACCACACCACTCGCCGCGCGGCCCGACTGCGTGTGTGTCCGCTTGTGCTGCGTCGAGAGCAGCGCCGCCAGCCTGCCCGCGGCCGAGGAGCGGCGGGGCGGCGCAGCCGGCTTGACGAGGATGCCAAACGCCTCCTCCGACCGCAAGACCGACTCGAGCAGCGCGATCGTGGCCAGTCGGACCGGATGCGGAGAGCGCTCGCTGAGCAGCGCGCTGAACGTGCACCCGGCCACCTCGTCGCCGTCGTCGCCGTCATCGCCAAACCACCGCCGGAAGGCTGGTGGACACGGGGCTGCTGCAAGCGGCGGCTCGGCCCAAAGAAGCAGCGAGAGGGCGCGGACGGCGGGGAGGATGACCGAGGAGTCGTCGAACACGCCCCGCCTCGAAGGGGCGGTCGCGATCCGCCCCATCTCCGAGTTTGCCAGCGCGAGCAGCGCGTCCACCGTCCTCGGGCCCGTCCTCGACGCCTCCCCCATCTCCACATCGCCGGCTGCCTCGCCCGGCGACGCTCCACCGTCGCCGCCGCCGCCACCCGTCTCCCTCGCCGGCAACGCGACGGCGCGACACTCCGCAGAGGCTCCAAAGAGCGCGCAGACGGTGGCAAGAGCGGCGACGAGCAGGGCGCGCGCGCCACCTCCGCCGGCATCGCCCCCGGCGATGCCGCCCAAAGTGTGAGTGGCGGTGCCGTGGACAGAAGCGGGCCGAGGCAGCGCGGCCAGCCAGCCGCTTTCGCCCCCGCCCGCAGCGCCCGCACGCGCCTCGTCGCGCCAGCCGGGGCTGAAGCAGCAGAGGTACGGCTGGAGGGCGGCGAGGAGTGCGGGCGCGTGGCAGTCGCCCGAGGCGAGCTGGGACGTGGCATCGAGGAGCTGATTCGTGGCGGCGAGCAACTGGCTCGCGCTCACTCCGCCGCCGCCGTGCCCAACCGTGGTCGAGAGCAGCACCAGCCTCTGCAGCGGGCCGCCAGGCCGCATCAGCAGCGGCAACAAGAGCGCGGGGTGCCGACGCACCGCGGCCGGGCCGGCGGCGCCGCCAGTGCCGCCCCCCGCCGCCACCAACGCGTCGCCGGCGGCGATCATCCCGCCGCCGCCGCCGTGCGATGGCGCCTCACTCTCGCGAGCGCCTTCCGGGGCGTCCACTGGCCCGTCGAGTTGCATCGGAGAGCTCGACTCAGCGAGCGGGTCGGCGGCGGCGGGCGGGGCGCGGTCGAGGTTGGCATCGGCGGGCGCGAGCCTCGACTCTGGCGGCGGCGAGGGCTGCTCGTCGGTGTCGTCGGGAAGAAGGGTCCGATCGGGCGCCACCAGCCGCGGAGGAGAGGGCGAGCTCTTCCGCCGGCCGAGCGACTCGGCGGCGGCGGCGCCATCCGCGGTACGAGGCGCGCCCGCCCACGCCGGGGGGTGCGAGGGGGTCTGGGCCTGCGCGGCGCGCTCGCTGCCCCCGCCGCCGCTCCCCGAAAGCCGGTGCGGCCGCCTCGCGCCGCTGAGGGCCGGCGTGCGGGGCGGCCCCTTGCTGCTGCTGCTCGCGCCGCAAAAGAGCGGGGGCGAGTCCTGCATTCCTGCACCCCCCGCCGCCGACGAACAAGCGGCGTGCGCCCGCGGCTGCGGCGGCTGCCTCGTCGCCAGCGGCGGCCTCCCTCCCTCCCTCCCTCCCTGCCTGCCCCCCTCGACAGCGGCCGGCTCCGCCGCTCGCCCGGCGGCAGAGCGCTCCGCAGCGGCGCCGCCGGCCGGCAGGGGAGGAGCGAGGCTTCCCGATGCGCGCAGAGCGGCGCGCGCCCGCTCGAGGTCGCGCGCCGTCCGCTCGAGCTCCTGCTCGAGATGGGGGCGGGTCAGGGCGAGGGCTGGGGCTAGGGGTGCAGGGGCTAGCCAGGGCGCGGGGGGGCAGGGTTCAGCGCTCGCACTCCTGCTCACGAAATGCGAGCGTCGACTGCAGCTGCCGGAGCGCCTCCGCCTCGGCGCTCTCTCGCCGACGGAGCTCGGCGTCGTACTCTGCCTGCGGAGGGCGAGCGGCGGCGGCGGTGCGGGGCGGTGGTGGGGAGGAATCCGGCACAGGGAGCGCGGCGGCGGCAGCGATGGCGTGCGGCGGCGGGCGGGAAGCAGGGGGGGGGGGGGGGGTTGTCCCTCCTTCAGTGCCTCCTCGCGCTGCCTTGCCCTCGCGGAGGTCTGCTCCGCCTCGCCCAGCCGCGCGCGCAGCACCTCCACCTCGCCGACGTACCGGTGCAGCTGCGACTCCGCCCCGCCGCCCAAGGCGCCCCCCGGCGGAAGGGGCGCTGGCAGCTGGTGCGGCGGAGCTCGGGCCGGGTCGACTGGCGGCTGCGGCTGCGGCTGTGGTTGCGGCAACGGTGGCGGCGGGAGCTGCTGCCGTAGCTGCCGCTGCGGCGGCGGCTGGTGGGCGAGCTGATGCGGCGGCGCTGCCGCCGCGTGCGGCATCCGCCCGCCCACCGCGGACGACAACTGCGGCGCCGGCGCGTGCGACGTAGCCGCCCCGGCGGCAGCGGCCAGGGGACCCGGCGGGAAAAAGGAGCTGAACATGTTGCTCGACGGCGCAGGGTGCGGAGACGGTGCGGTGGCTGCGGCCGGCGCGGCGGGCATGGCGGGCGCGGCGGCATCGAGCATCGCATTGAGGACGTCGTCCGGCAGGCAGTAGTCGTCCCACTCGTCGAGTGCAGCCGTGGCCGGCCCCGCGAGCATGGTTTTCGCTCAACCAGGTTTTCGCTCAACCAGTTGGCTGCTTGAATTCTTTTCTTCGTACCGGTGCACTCGCCTAAACCTAGACTGTGAATACGACTCAAGGCCGTCATCGCATTCGCCCTGGGACCCAGCGCTGACTTCTGACTGTCGTTGCGGTCTATCCCTTTCTCGACTGTCTGAGCTTGTGCGTCTTGGGTCGTTGTGTTTTTGTGTGAAGCGCAAAGCGCCATAGTGCGCCATACGACACTGGTAGAGCAGCATGTGTCACAGCATGCACAGCAGCATGTACAGCATGTTCATGTTGGCTGTCGCGCTCGTGCCGATCGCCGCTCTACTGCCTCCCGGCGTGGTGTCGGCGTGTCGGCGGGACGACGTCAAGCCGTTGCGCCGACTGCTCGATAAGGGCGCATTTGACGTAAGGAGCTCGTGGTTCAGCGTTAGTGCCTCCTGATCTCCTGAAACGCAAACGCCGGTCGATTCTTGCTCGGATATTTGTCTTTTTTTCCGTCGCCCGCCGGCCCCGACGCGACCGTGGTCACCTTCTTCAACGCCTCTTGCTCCGTGGTGAGGAGCAGTCCGTGTGACACCTCGAACTCGAGGTCGGATTTCTCCCCGCGCACGTGAGTCTTCATGAGCGTGCACCCGAGCATGATGAGTCGCCGTATCTCTGACGCCTTGTGCACCGCCTCGGGCGAATCACGAGGCAGGTATGCGCAGAGCTGCGCGGTGATTTGGCGAGCGTCCTGCCTGGTGCAGCTGTTGCATCAATTCGCTCGCTCGCTCCCATTTGTCGAACGCATCGGAGAGGCGGAATGACGTCACGCCCTGTGTTTTATCGGCCGCAGTAAGATTTTGCAATGTCCAAGCGAACCCGCCAGGGGGCGGAGAGAAAGAAATCCCCGACGGAGTTTCTTCCTGGCTGCCGCGCTCCGTCGTAGCCGGCGACAATACACACATGCTTCGTCCCCGCTCTCCCTCCGCCCCGCGAGCCGCGCTGCTGCACGCTGCTCGGCGCCGGCTTTCCTCCAGGTCCGACTTTCGCGGCGTCTTCCCCATCATGGCCACTCCGTTTCGCGCCGACGAGTCGCTCGACGTCGACGGCTTTCAGAAGTCCATGCGCTTCATGGCAGAGGCGGGCTGCGACGGCGCGACCATCGTGGGAGTCCTGGGCGAGTCCAACCGGATGACGGACCGCGAGCGCGAGACGCTGATTCGGGCCGCCGTCGACGCGGTAGCCGACTGCGGCCGCCCGTTTCCGATCTGCGTCGGCACGAGCCACGCGGGCACGGCTGCCACGGTCGCGCTGAGTCAGATGGCGCAGGAGCTTGGGGCGGCGGCGGTGATGGTCACGCCCACCAAGGAGCCTGCGCCGGCGAGCGACGACACGCTCGCCGAGATGTACGCGCGCGTCGCCGAGGGCTGCCCGGGCCTCCCGATCGTGCTGCAGGACCACCCCGCGTCGACCCAGGCGAGACTCGAGCCAGGTAGAGCGGTGCGTGGCGCGTCGCTTGGAACGGCGACGGCTGCGGTAGGTGCACATGAGCCCGAAGCTCATCGCGCGGATCGCGCACGAGGTGCCCGCCGTCGCGTGCATCAAGCTCGAGGCGCTCCCTACCCCGGCCCGCATCGCAGCGCTGCGCAAGCTGTGGGCGTCCGAGCTGCCGCCCGCCTCCGACTGCACGATCCTGACCGGGCTCGGCGCCCTCTACGCCGGTGCGCGCGCCAGCGAGCGAGCGTCCCTGCCCCGCCCGTTCCGCCCTCGGCCATTCGCCCGCCCCGTGCCGCAGGCTTTGACATGGAGCAGGGGACGGACGGCTTCATGACCGGCTTCGCCTTCCCCGAGATCCTGCAGGCGATGAACGCGGCCGCCCAGCGGAAGGAGTGGGAGCGCGCGCACGCCCTCTACCAGCGCTACCTCCCCCTCCTCGTCTTCGAGCAGCAGCCCGGCGTCGCCGTCCGGAAAGAGCTCTACCGGTTGCGAGGGCTCATCGAGTGCGCACACGTGCGCCACCCGGCCGCGCCGGCGGCCGCGCCCGCGCTTGCAAAGGCGCTCGCCGAGCAGGTGGAGCGCAGCCTGCCGGGCATCGACGTCAGCCAGCCGCTGCCGGCCTCCCTCTTCGCCTAGGAGCGGCACGGAGAGGGTGCGTGCTGCCGAGAGGGAGAGGCGGGGCATGCCGCGCCGCCGCCGGCCGTTTGAGATGCACGTACGCAAGGCCAGACACGTCGGCCACCCTGCTGAAGGCTTACACGTTACAGCTGGTCCGTGTGGTCGGTCGAACTCGAAGGCTCGAAGCCGCTGGCAGAGTCGCGTGTCTGTCTAGCACGATTTCAGTTCTTACGATGCGGACGCCTCTCACACAGCCCACGGCGCACGCGGCGCGGCGATCGTCCGTGGACCGTGACAACCGTGGTCGCCGTGCGTGTGGTCTGTGGAGGATGACGCGAGGGGCAGGACGCGAGGACCACCGCCGACGACCACACCGTCGTGTCGCGTGTGGTCAGAAGGTCGGTCGGGTCAGATGCAAATCGTCCTCGCCTCGGGGTTCCGCTAGGGGTTCCGGATTGGCGAGACGCGCTTCTTGGAGGGTTCCTGCATTGTGCGCCGTCTGTCTGGCGGCCTCCACGGCTCGGCACCGGCGCATTATGCAGAGCAGCCTGAGAACCCTCGCCGCCGGCAGGCGGGTGGGGCGGGCGTTGGCCTCCGCGCCGTTGGCCGGCGCGGTGATAGCACCGGTCGTCGCTCGGCGCGGGCCGTCCGCGCTAATTGCCCTGCGAGCGTGCTCGTCTCAGAGTGCCGCCTCGGCACACCCGCAAGTGATTGAGGTGGAGCCGCCCGCGGACGCAGCAGCAAGCGATGAGAAGCCAGAGGCGCACCGCCCCCCTCGCGCCGCCCGCCCAACGCCCCCCCCCTGGCAGCTGTCCGCCGTGCCCTGCCACCGCCCGGTCCGGACCGGGATGGCTCCAAGAGGGTGCACCGCCCGCCTGCGCCCGCGTCGACGCCTGCGCACCGCCGATCGCAGGAGACGGAGGAGGACCGGGCGCTCCGTCCGCGCGAGATCGTCGCCTATCTCGACCGCTACATTGTGGGCCAGGATGACGCCAAGCGCGCCGTCGCCGTGGCGCTTCGGAACCGGTGGAGGCGGCAGCGGGTCGACTCGCCGCTGCGGGAGGAGATCATGCCGAAGAACATCCTGATGATCGGGCCGACGGGGGTGGGGAAGACGGAGGTTGCACGGCGCCTCGCCAAGCTGGCGAACGCCCCCTTCATCAAGGTTGAGGCGACCAAGTTCACCGAGGTTGGCTTCGTGGGGAAGGACGTCGACCAAATCATGCGCGACCTGATGGAGGCGGGCATGGCGATGGCGAAGGTGAAGGCGGTGGAGAAGATCAAGGACAAGGTGGCCGCCAAGGTGGAGGAGCGCGTCCTCGACTGCCTCGTCGGCGCGACCAACATCCAGCACAACCGCGAGGCGTTCCGCAAGCTGCTGCGGATGGGGCACCTCGACGACCGGCTCATCGAGGCGCGGGGCGGGGCAGGGCGGCCACCCGCGCGGGCGGGAGTCCACCCGCGAGAGAGGGCGCCTGTGTCCGTAGGTGGAGGTGCCCGAGCGCAAGCCGAGCGGGCAGGGCGACCCTGCGAACGGGAACGGCTTTCCGATGAACGAGATCATCCTGAGGTTCGACAAGATGATGCACGGCCGCCAAAAGATGGAGAAGCGGGAGATGTCGCTCAAGGAGGCGGTGCCGATCCTGACGGAGCTCGAGTCGGAGAAGCTCATCTCGGAGGACGACATCAAGCGGCAGGCGCTCTGGAGCGTGGAGCAGGAGGGGATCGTCTTCATCGACGAGATCGACAAGATCTGCTCGCGCGGTACGCACACGCGCGCGCGCACACACGGCGGCGCAGCGCACGGCCGCGCATCGCTCGCGACCCGCGCCCCTCGCAGGCGACTACCGCGGCTCGGCCGACGCCTCCTCGGAGGGCGTGCAGCGCGACTTGCTGCCGCTGCTAGAGGGCTCGACAGTCACCACAAAGCACGGCAACGTCAACACGGACCACATCCTCTTCATCGCCTCGGGCGCCTTCCACTTTTGCAAGCCGTCCGACCTGCTGGCCGAGCTGCAGGGCCGCCTCCCGATCCGCGTCGAGCTCAAGCCGCTCACCGAGAAGGACATGTGCGCCATCCTAGAAGCCGAATCCGGACCCCCGCCTTCCATCAAGCCTTCCAACAAGCAGACGAGAGGACACGTATTCAGCTCAACTGCGCCGCATCCCGCGGTAGTCATTGTACTCGTAGCCCGTGTATTCACGCGCCGCTCTGCATACACGGCGCGAGACCGTAGTCCCACCCTGCCCTCGGTGGCTTCATCGCTCAGGTACACCATCCTCACCGAGCCGGAGCCCAACCTCATCAAGCAGCAGTGCGCCCTCATGTTTACCGAGGGCGTGCAGCTCGAGTTCACGGACGAGGCCAAGTGGCGGATGGCCAAGCTCGCCACGCAGATCAACCGCGACGTCGAGAACATCGGCGCGCGCCGGCTGCACACCATCATCGAGCGGCTGATGGAGGACCTTTCCTTCTCGGCCACGGACCGCGCGGGCGACAAGGCTTGACGGCGAGAAGAGGCTGCTGCTCGGCGAGAGACAACATTTCAGGACCCGCTGAACACTCCATAGGTCGTCATCGACGCAGACATGGTCCAGGAGCGGGTCGGAGAGCTGGCCAAAAAGTCGGACCTCTCGCGGTTCATCTTGTAAGCGCCAGAGCAGCGTAGCCGGCGGCGCCTCCTCGCCGTGCTGCCGTCCTCTCTCCCAGATCCCTTGGGGTACCTGGCACCGGCGCTCGGAGCGCTAGCCGCGGCAGCCGTGGCAGCAGCAGCACACTCCATTAGCGTGTCTTGGAGTGATGGGGGGGGTGCGTACTTTGCGGGTTGGCCGTTCGCGTTCGTCGCGGGGCGGCGGTGACACGCACCTCGGACTACTGTGCGAGGTGCGCCAGTGCTCTGATGTCTGAACTATACTGGAGAGTTGTACAGTGGGTGTTGCCATTTTGCTAATGTTCCCGGGCCGACACGACCTCTTCCATCTACGCGACGCGCAGCGGTGATGACACCGGCAACGAAAGAAAAACGAAAACCACTGGAAGAGGACGCGCACGCGCACAAAATTTTGGGGTTTGGATTTTCATGCTCTTTGTTATTCATGCATGTAAAGAGTGGAACTAGTGTACGTAAAGAGGTAAAGTGTGAATCCAGAAGACGGGACCGGCGAGGGACGCGGCCAGAAAGAAAGAAAGAGGTTAGTGGTGCACTAACCTCCGAGAAACCCATCGGGTCGCTTCTCATCGCAAACCCTGTCAGCAGAGTCCTCCTACGGGAATTACGTAAGAGCCACATACACGGAAATGGACGTGCGCAGAAAGCGACCTGCCTTCGGGACATCGTTACGCGTGATTGCGCGTGGAGGCAGGTCGACGGGTCTCAGCGACCTATAATGTCCCATCGAAACGAGGAGCGTCGCTGGCGTGCTGAGCAACGGCGCGCCGAGTGCGGACGCGAAGAGGGGCGATGGCGGGGCGAATCGCGACAGCGGTCGCGATCGCGCGATGAGCCGCGGCGTGATGAGCGGCGACGGCGCGACAAGCCTTGGAAAGGCGAGCAATGGCCGCACCATGACGGGCGGCATGACGAGTGGCGAGGTTACGACGACCGTCGGTGCAGAGGTGAGCGCGAGCGCGACTGGCACGATCAGCGCGATGATCGGTACCACGATCCCAGGCGCGACCATGACCGGCGCGACCGCCGCGGCGAGGGGCAGCCTCAGCACAGCGACCGCCAGTTGAGTCCGCCGATACGTGGTGCGGGATCGCGCGACGAGCGGCACACCTCTGCTGTCGGTGGTCAGCTCAATGCGAAGCAGCTCAACGGCCATATCTCGCATGCCAGCGGCGCCGACGAGCTGCTCACGCTCTTTGCTGCCCACAGCGCGAGCTTGAACCACATCCACGCTGCGAACCTGTGGAACAAACTGGGCAAGCAGCGCATTGAGCGGCGGCACGAGGAGCGGCTTGAGCAGCTGGTGCAGCGCACGCTCGACCTCGTCCCGTCATGCAATGCGCGAGCACTGGCGAACGTCACTCACGGCGTGGCAAAGTGCGGCCAGCAAGCGAGCGTGGTGCACCCGTTGTTCGTAGCGGTGGCGGAGGCGGCGGTGCGCGGCGGGCTGGATCGCTTCAACCCACAGGAGCTGTCCAACACGGTGTGGGCGTATGCGACGGCGGGCGTGGCTGCGGAGGCGCTGTACGCGGCGGTGGCGAAGGCGGCGGTGCGGAGCCGGCTGGCTGGCTTCAACCCGCAGGCCCTGGCCAACACGGTGTGGGCGTATGCGACGGCGGGCGTGGCTGCAGACGCGCTGTACGCGGCGGTGGCTAAGGAGGCGGTGCGGAGCGGGCTGGCTGGCTTCAAGCCGCAGGAGCTGTCCAACACGGTGTGGGCGTACGCGACGGCGGGCGTGGCTGCGGACGCGCTGTTCGCGGCGGTGGCTAAGGAGGCGGTGCGCGGCTGGCTGGCTGGCTTCAAGCCGCAGGAGCTAGCCAACACGGTGTGGGCGTATGCGACGGCGGGCGTGGCTGCAGACGCGCTGTACGCGGCGGTGGCTAAGGAGGCGGTGCGCGGCTGGCTGGCTGGCTTCAAGCCTCAGAACCTGGCCAACACGGTGTGGGCGTATGCGACGGCGGGCGTGGCTGCAGACGCGCTGTACGCGGCGGTGGCGGATGCGGCGGTGCGCGACGGACTGGCTGGCTTCAACCCGCAGGCCCTGTCCAACACGGTGTGGGCGTATGCGACGGCGGGCGTGGCTGCAGACGCGCTGTACGCGGCGGTGGCTAAGGAGGCGGTGCGGAGCGGGCTGGTTGGCTTCAAGCCGCAGGAGCTGTCCAACACGGTGTGGGCGTATGCGACGGCGGGCAAGGCTGCGGACGCGCTGTATGCGGCGGTGGCTAAGGAGGCGGTGCGCGGCGGGCTGGCTGGCTTCAAGCCGCAGAACCTAGCCAACACGGTGTGGGCGTATGCGACGGCGGGTGTGGCTGCGGACGCGCTGTACGCGGCGGTGGCTAAGGAGGCGGTGCGGAGCGGGCTGGCTGGCTTCAACCCTCAGGACCTCTCCAACACGGTGTGGGCGTATGCGACGGCGGGCGTGGCTGCGGACGCGCTGTACGCGGCAGTGGCTAAGGAGGCGGTGCGGCGCGGGCTGGCTGGCTTCAACCCTCAGGACTTGTCCAACACGGTGTGGGCGTATGCGACGGCAGACCAGTACCACCCGCTGCTGTTCGCCGAGTGCTTGCGCGTGGTCAGCGGCTCCCTTGGGGAGGGTCCGTCGGGTTATAGCATCGATGGGCGCCGTCAGCTGCACCAATGGCAGCTCTGGCTCTCTCTTGAGCGAGGCGAAGACGGGCAGCGGCTCCTCCCCGCCTCCCAACGCCAGCTTTGCTGCGACGCCATGATTGCGACCATAGCTCGGCCGTCAGGCTTGCAGCGCTCTGTCGCGACTGCCCTCGCCGCCATCCGGCCCGGCTTTGAGGAGGAGCATCTCGAGCCGCGCACCGGCTACTCGCTCGACCTGGCGCTGCCCTCATCACGCATCGCGATTGAGGTGGACGGCCCCTTTCACTTCCTGCTGCCCGACGGCCGGGGCGTGCGCAAACCCAATGGGCCGACGCTGCTCAAGCGGCGCCTCCTCGCGGCGGCTGGCTGGAGGGTGATCAGTGTTCCATTCTACGAGTGGGACGGCCTCGCGACTGCCAGTGAGCGGCAAGCCTACCTGCAGAGGGCGGTCGCCCCGCTGTTGGTGTAGTGCTAAGCACACTGACTGTTATCATTATCGCTTGGGCGGCTCCCGCGACACAAAGTGCAAACTGGCTCACACGCGTGGCGAGGCGCTCAGCGGACTGGTTGGGTAGTAGTCTAAGTTCTGAGCCTCGAGGCTTAACGGGTCTAAGTGTGACGGGTCACGCTGGGGTGCTTACGCCGTCTAAGATCAGCGAGAGCCTCTCACACGGACTAAGTCTGCCGTGGCACGGCCTGTGGGGACTCGTCACGTGCCCGCGGACCGGCTGCTGACACAGCCCCGAACACGACACGACACGACGCGCTCGCTTCTCACGGTCGCTCCACCGGTCTCGCCCCCTCAATCCTCGCCGTCCTCCCCCCCCTCGCCCTCCTCTCCACCCTCCTCTCCAGCCAGCTCGCCCTCCTCCGCGTCCAGGTATTTTTCGGGTGTAAACCTGCGGACTTGTGCGAATACACCCGGGTTTTACCCGGAGTTGGCGTCTAAGTTCATGGCCCCCGACATGCAGCGTCTAAGTCTGAGTCCGGCTCCGTGCGGGGGCTAAGTTGAGCGCTCGCTCGCTGCAGAGGCTAAGTGTAGAGCGACCCTCTAGCCCTACGCCTACGGCTCTACTCCCGGGACCGGACATTCTCAGCGCACAGCGGTCTCCCCCCCATCATGGTCTCCATCTCCTCTCGTCTCTCGCTGCGGCCCTGCGTCGCCAGGCTGGCACGTGGCAGCGTCCAGACAAAAGCGAAAACAGATAGAACGAAAGGCCGTGTGGGGATTTTTACACGACGCCCCACCGCGAGCGCCGACCGTACACACACACACGACATGCAGGTACACATGCAAAGCGCGGCGGCGCAGAAGCGGCGGGATGCGGCGCCCCGCAGCGGGGCGACGGGGAAGCGCGGGCGGCCCGACGCTGTCAGGTGGTGAACCAAGGGCCCCCGAGGCGCTCTGGCAAGCTCGCCGGGTAGGGGGAAAGCTCCGACCTGCCTGGCGAGTAGGGCCTGTCCGAGTAGCGTCCGGACAGCGGCGACGGCTCGGGCGGCAAGTACCTAGCAAGTTCGGGAAGGGGTCCCAGCGCCCTCCGTGTGAAGGAGCGGCGACGGTGGCGGGGTCAAGGCGCACTCGAAGTCGCGCGGCGTCAGGCCGAGGAGGGCATCCTCGGCGGGGGAGTACCTGCGGCGGGGGAGTACCTGCGTGTGAGGACCTCTCGCTCCCCGCCGCCCGATGTGTGTGTGTGTGTGTGTGTGGTGGTGGTGGTGGCATGCCACGAGGCGGGATGAGACTAGACGTCTCGAACGAGACTCGTCACCATAGACGACCGTGCGACTGTAAAGCTCCGTATGTAAATAACTAAATAAAAACGGACCCCTCTACTGTGAGATGGGTAAAAAGGAACAGGTCCCCGCCCTTGCGATCTTTGTGCAGGGTTCTTTGTGGGTGTGGTCGGCGACTAGCCGGGGTCGTCCTCCCGATGGGGGACTAGCACTAAAGCCGTCTTCCACACATGGATCATGCTTCATGGTCCCTCGGGTCCACACACCACACAAAACTGCGGACTGCGGAGTTACTGAGATAACACTGGCGTGGTGGCACTGGTCTCCGCGCGCGTCCCCGCACCCCGCCCTCCGGTGACCGGTCCCGGCAGCCGGCGGCGCTGGGGCCGAGCGCGAGCCCGACCCGACCCGGGGGCGGGGGGGGCCGCGGCGGGGCCCCCGCCCCGCGGCCGCAGAGCGCGGCCGGCGCGCGCCGCCCGCGGGGGGGCGGTACCGCTACGGTAGCGTAGGGGCTCTACAACCGACACATGCGACAACAGAGCGGTACAAAAACGCCTTTTCACTTACGGGCTGCAACGACGGTACTCAGCCAGAGAAACACGAGGGTGGGCGCAGACCGAGGCCGCCGACCGGCAGCTCCCCCAGCGCGCCGAGCTCGAAGCCGCCGGGGCCGGCGGGCCGCGCCTCGCATCTCACAACCACATACAGTACAGACAGATGGGTTGCATGCCGAGCAACCTGCAAAGCGGCACGCGCCCTACATGAGGTGGTGCAGCGCGTCCTCGTCGGAGGAGGGCTCTCCCTCGGCGGGCTGGTCCAAGGAGAGGGGGTCGGCCTCATTCTGCGAGGGCTCCTCCCACTTGACCGACGGGCCGCGAGGCTCCGTCGACGCCTCCTCCGGCCGCGGAAGCCCAGGCCGGCCGTGCTGGGCCCGGGGCCCCCACCGGGGTGGAGGCGCGTAGCGAGCTGCACTCACCACCCGTCGCCCGTCGCCGTGCCGGCGATCGTCCCCGCCGCGGCGGTCGGCCAGCCAAGCGGCGTCTCGCGGCGGCGGCGGCCGGCGGTCCTCCTCCCGCCGGTCGGCGCGGGCCCATCCGTACGGCGCGGCGGCGGGCGCGCGACAGCGGGCGGGCGGAGGGGGCGATCGCCGCTCCTCTTCCTCGCTGCCCCTCCGGAGAAGCGGGCGGGGCGCCCAAGCAGGCGGCGCGCGCTCCACCGCCACCCTCAGCGGCCACGGTGTGCGCGGGTCCGCCGCCCTGCGCTGCTCGTACTTTGCTGCCCGCATCGCAGCCTCGCAGAGCCGGAAGCGAACGATGCCTGCCGCGCGCATGGCGGGGAGGGTGGAGGGGGTGTGGAGGGGGGGTCTCGGCGGGGGAGGGGCGGGGCGGGGCGGGGGGGGGGGGGGGGGCCTGTCGGCTCGAGCCGGCGCGAGCCGAGCGCCGGGGGGTAAATAAGCCGCACCTCGACCACCTCTCCGTGCGGCTGGAAGAGCTCGCGGACCGACTCTCGCGTCGCCTGCAGGAAGGTTCCAGGAAAGGTCCGGGAAAGGTCCAGGAAGAGCTCGCGGACCGACTCTCGCGTCGCCTGCGCGTTGAGGCCTTCGACGCGGAGGACGCCTCCTCCTTGCCCCGGCCCGCCGGCCTCCTCCTTGCCACGGCCGTCCCGCCACGCCTCGCCCAGCCGCTGGGAAAATGCAGGTCGGAGAGGAGGTGGTCGGGCGGCAAACCGCCGCCTCTGGGGAGGGCTCCTCTCCGGAAGGCGCGAGCTGCCCTGCCGCGGGTGCAGCGTCCACTCGTCTTGCACGAGGGACCGCTCTCTCGCGCCTCGCTCGCGGGTCTGGTTGTGCCACGCGGGGTGGCGGGACCAGTCGCGGGACACATCGGGCCGCATCCCCTCCTCGGGCCGAAGCCCCTCCTCTGGCCGCAACCCGTCGGGCGGCGCCTCCGCTGCGGCGTGCGCGTCCCCGCCCGCCGCCTCGGCGCCAACGACGGAGCCGGCGTCGGCGGTGGGGGACGACTCGGGCGTGCTCGACGCCTATACACGCAGTGGCGGGCGGCGAGCGCGTGAGGTGCCTCGAGCCTTGCGATGCCACGCGGCTGCGCGGGCTGAGAGCGGGACGCCTCGTCGCGCCTCATCTCCGCCGCCCCGCTCCCGCTCTCCTCGGGCACCTCGACCTCGCCCGGAGGGGACCCTGTCAGCGAGCTCGACGCTCCCTCTCTCTCGCCCGTGGAGGAGCCCAAAGCGAAATCGCCGCCTGCACCGACCCCGCCGCCGCCGCTGCCGCCGTCGCCACCGTCCTCGCCGCCGTCCTCGTCGCCGCCGCCGCCGCCCGCGGCCGCGGCGCCACTGCCGCCGCCCGCCGCCGCATACCGCGGGCGCGCGGGGTCACACTGCAGGGAGCCATTCGCCGAGAGGCGGCACCGCGAGTAGCCGAGCGAGGGAGGGGCGGGCAGAGGCGGAGGCTCGCCCGGGGCTTCCGGTTCGACGCCCGCACAATCGAGCTCGCCGTACGCAGCCTGCAGCGCCGCCTCCGCGGCCCTCCGCTCCTCCTCGGCCCGGACCACGCGCGCGTCCGCCTCCCGCAGCGCCTTGCGTCAGCCAGGGGCCGGGGTGAGATCGAACCGCTGCCGCTGCTGCAGCACCCCTCCCCCTCCCCCCTCCCTGACTGCGGTGGCGCACCTGCGCCGCGCGTGCCACCCTCTCCTCGGCAGCGAGCCGCAGCGCCGCGCGCGAGAGTGGCGCCTCGCGCAGCCCGGCCGCGGAGGAGGACGCGCCGTGGGCCACGACGCCGCCGTCGGCCGCCTCCTCCGCGCCGGCCTCCGCCGCTCCTCCTGGAAGAGGACCTCCTCCCGGAAGTCGGCGCGCGAGAGAGGAGCCGCTCGAGAGAGAGGAGGTCGCTGCGTCGCCCAGCCGGCGCACCTTGGTCTCGCATCTCGCGGTGGGAGTGGGGGCGGGGCGCCGCCGCTTCGTGCCGCACGCGAGGCACCTACAGCCACCCCCCTACCGCTGAGACGATGCGGGCGAGGCGCGCCAACCCATCGCGGCGCGGCGCTTTTTCGCTTCCAAATTGTTGAGCAGTGTGCATGTGCCGCACTCCCACTGAGTCCCGCTCTCGTCGAGCCCGCTCGAGGCGGGGGGGAAGCCCGGGGGGTGGTGACGGCGCGCTGCGCTGCGCAGCCCCGGCGAGCGAGCGCTGGGGCTCGCCGTGCAGTCGGACGACCGCTTGGCGAGACGCGGCGGGGCGCGTGGCGGAATCGTCACAGTGAGCGGAGAGTCGGAGGAGTCGCCGTTGGCGGGTCGGAGCGGTTGGTGCTGGTAGAGGCGCACGTCGAGCATCGGCTCGGGCTGCTCAACTCTGGTCTCGACCGGGATCAGCGTCGTCACGAGCTGCTCAAAGTTGTCGTCGCGCCGGAGCGCTCTGCGTGTCGCAATCTTGAGCCGGCAGGTGGGGCATCGCTTCTCGGGGCCGCCGAGGCGGAGCGCAGTCTGAATGCACTGGAAGCAGAAGCGATGCAGGCACTCTGTCGCCATTGGCTCTCGTAGCGGCCCGAGGCAAATCGGACAGGAGAGGTCGGTGTCGACGGTTGCCCGACCGCCCACCTCGAGCATGCCCAGCCGCGCGTCCTCGATCATGGGCAGCGAGGGCGGTGGCGCGTAGGAAGCTACCACCTCGACCCCGTCCACGAAGTCCAGATCGAGCGCCATCCGGCGCGAGAGCGCCCCGACAGCCCCGACAGGCCCCCGTCTTGCTGTGTCGGAGCTAGCTATCAAAACCTCGGAGAAGAAGTTTTCTTTTCCCAACCCTTCTTTTCATCAATGTATGTGGAGCTACAGTTTCTTTGTTTTGCTAATCGAGGATCCATCGGGCCGCCGCTGGTGATTGCTTATGGCGGGTTTGCTGCTGCTGCTCGCGCCCGTGCCAGCCATATCCCCTCCGAATCTCCCCAGAGCGTGCTGCGTGCCCCGCGCGGCCGTCTCCGCGGCACGAGCGTCGCGCGTGGCCATGAACAAGGAGGAAGAGCTGCGCGAGTGTCTGTACAACAATGCGGGAGACCCGGTAGCCTCTCGGCAGTGCTTCTCCGAGGTCACAGTCGATGAGCTCCTCGAGGAGAAGGAGGCGCCGCTCCTAACCAACCCCGAGCGCGAGTCGCTGACAGCCCTCGATGAGTGCCTCCTCGGCGCCTCCTCAGCCAGCGAAATCGCCAGGTGCGTGTCGACCACACGAGAGCAGGACGAGGTCGTCCAAAAGGGTGCCGAATGAATGCATCGGCCGCGGCGCGGCGTCTAGGGCTAGTGTGTGCTTGTGACACGAGTGTGTGCGTGTATCGCTCTCTATGATCTCCTCTGTCCTCATACACTCCTCCTCTGCACAGCCTGTATCTCTGAGATTGAACATTTGTCAAGACCACCGCGCCGAGCATCCAGAGACACACTCAAGCACACACTGACCCTAGACGAATACCATTGGTTCATCTCTTCTGGCAAGGTGCGCGTGTGTCGTTGTGGCACAAAGTTGGGGGGTGGGGGGGGCGTCGGCAAGGGGGCAGGCAGCGGCCGGCGCACCAGTGGTCGGTGGTCCGTCGCGCGCCTGGCCCTCGCGCGCCCCCGCTCTCCAGGCCGTACAGCTCCCCAGCCATGTCTACTTTCTCGTCCCCATCGTTTTCGCAACATCGCCCTTCATCGCGCGCGCCAGAATCTCGATCCCGTGATTCTCGCGGATGGCATGCAGGCAGCGCTCATTACTGGCCAGCCGGCCGAGCGCGATGGCGGCGTTCTTCATTGTCTGGCCCTCGCCACGGTGTGCTAGGTCGAGCAGTGGCGGAACCACCGGTTGCACGGCGAGAACCTGCGGCAGAGACCACATGTTGATAGCAGACGGGCGGCTCTGGGCTACGGACGGGCGCGTGCGCACGCGCACCGCCAAGCAGCGAGGCTCGGTGGCGCACTCGGCGATACAAAGCGCAGCGTTGCCGTGCGAAGCGGCGTGGTCTGGAGCGCGAAGCAGCGTCGACAGCAGAGGGAGCACGCCTGTGTCGATTGAGCTCCGCAGTGAGGCAACGACTGGACCATCACTTTCGGCCGGCGTGGAAAGGGCGGCGTTCCGGCTGCGCATAGAGCGGCCGGCCCGCCGGCGTGGCGCGAGCAAGCCGTGAGGAGGCGCACGCTGTTGCCCACAAAGTCGCCGCTGTCCTCCTCGCCCTCCGACACCACAACCTCAGACGCCTCATCCGGGACCCCTCCGGCTGATGCTGCGGCCGGCACTCCCAGTTCCGTGTTGTCGAGGCTGCTCTTGAGGAACCGAACGAGCATGGCCACGGGCGGGCTGCCTCCGTCTAGCAGCATCTCGACGATGGCGGTGCAGCGTTGAGCGCCCTTGGCGAGCACCGCGATCAGCCTGCTAAGTAGCGGGCCCGACGAGACAGCAGAGTCCAGCCATGGGATGAGGAGCCTGCCCACTTCAGGCTGCGCGATCGCCGCCATCCCCTCGGGCAGGAGCGACAAATTGCACAGGGCCGCGATCGTGTTAGGCAGCGCTGCTTCAGCCAAAGTTGACGCTCCCTGCCGGCCGGGCGGTCCGGATGCGGCGACGCGGACCAGCGTGAGCAAGGCCTCAGCGGCGCCTACGGCATGCGCGAAAGTACTGAATCGGCTGAGGCTTTAACAACATTTGCCCCGGCAGGCGCTGGACCCGCGGCAACCAGCTGCGGCCGCATGGCGGCAGTGGTGGACAGGTTGCCGATGGCCGTCGCGCAAGCGACACGCACGTCAACTCTCGAGCCGCTCGACGCGAGGCGCGTCACAAGCGCTGTTGATAGTTGTGGTGCGAGCGCGGCGAGGCCCTTGCAGCGTCCACCATAGGCGAGGGCGGTGACGAGCGAGGCTGTGGACATGTGCAGCTCATTCCAAAGCGACCCGGCCGTGCCAAGCGGGCCGTCGTCCAGGAGGGCCACGAGGCGCTCATATGCACCCTCGGAGCCAGCGACCGCGCGCACTGCCTCTCTCACCTCTGGGTGCCGCATCGTCATCGTCAAAAGCGCCAGCTGCTCTGCCAGGATGCTATCGCCTTCACCAGAGCGCACATCTGCGACCGCCTTCTTGGTGGCAGAGAGCGGGACAGCGGCGCGGAGGGCACGCAGCAACGCCGTGGTGCCTCCGGCCTCGTGGACCTCGAGTTGCGCCCTGCGCTCTGCGCATAGCTGCAGCAAGCGGGCGGTCGCGGCTGGCTGCGTCGGTAGAAGCCGCACGAGGAAGGGGATGCCACCCTCTTTGCGCAGGCACAAGCGGGAAGCTGCTGATTCGAGGAGTGGCGCGAGCGCTTCTAGTGGCTGTCCGGCGTCTTCTGCTCTGCTGTCCCTAACCTCGCCGAGCAACGCCCGCACGCGATCGTGGCTGCCGTCGTCGCCGCTGCTTTCCACAGCTTTGGCCAACTTAGCCTCGCGTTGCGCAGCCTCGCGCTCGGCCTTGAGCGCGCGGACCTAAGAGTCGTGTATTGTCTCAGGACGGGGCCCTGGTTTGGCCATGTGCGTGCGTGCGTGCGTGCGTGCGTGCGTGCGTGCGTGCGTGCGTGCGTGCGTGCGTGCGTGCGTGCGAGTGCGCCTGCTTTACAACTTCGGGCCGCTCCTTCTCCGGCGCCATCTCCCGAGCCTGCTCGAGATCGGCCTCCGCCTCGTCGAACTGGCCGAGGGCCGCATGGGCTGTCGCCCGCCGAACGTAGGCCTTGAGAACCTGATGATGAGTCGGAGGCCGGCGCCCCGTTACAAACGGGAAGGGCTCGCGCGCCGGGCACGTAACGATCACCGTCGGAGGCGGCGGTCGCCGAGACACGTCCTCATCGAGATAGGTGGCGATGTCAATCGCGCGCGACGTGTCCTCGATTGCCGATGCAAAGTTGCGGAGCTTGAGGTGCACGAGAGCGCGGTTCGCAAAGATAGCCTTGTCGCCACGGAAGTGGTCGACCGCGCGCGAGTAGGCAGAGAGCGCCTCGCCGTACTGGCTCGCTTTGAATGCGGCGTTGCCACGCTCCCGCTCGGCCGCTGCCGCCGCCGCCTCTGCCTTGCGCTTTGCCGTCCGCTCCTCGACGTCCTTGGCCATAGCGTCAAAGGCGGCCTTCACGGGTGGCACGCCGTCAGTGCGAGTTGTTCGCGGGCGCAAGTGCATGTCGCCTCACACTGGGCGCTAAGTAAAATGTGTGCGCAGGCGCAGGCGAGGTGCCTGGTCTTGGACAGCCGCCGGCTTGTCGCCGGTGAAGAGCTCCTCGTCGGGATCCTCCTCAAACAGGTCCCACCTGCGCCACGCGGCGATCAGGACTAAGCAATGCGATGGGTCCAAGCGATTCAGGCGCCCCCTGGCGGTTTCACCCGCGGTAGTAGTCGGTGAATCCGCTGCCCTGGGACGCTCTCTTCTGCTGCTCGGCACGGAACGCTTCCCACTTCTCGCGCTTGGCCTTGCGGTGGTAGTAATCGCGCTTGAGCTGCTCGAGCTCCTCGCGCTTCTCCTCCTTCAGACGCTCCATCCTCCGCACCTCCTCCTCGCGCTCCTCTGCCTGCCGCCGTGCTGCCTCTGCCTTGCGTTCTCGCCGCGCTGCCGCCTCGCGCACTGCACGCTCAGTAGCATCGTCCTCAGCCGCAAGGGCATAAGCGTCGACAGCGCCGCTCTTGAGCCCCTCGATGGCCTTGGTCACGCCATCAACGCGAGCGAGGAAGTCGCCGAACTCGTCGTCGTCGTACGCCGCGCTGGGCATGAGTGTACGTATGGGGGAGTCCCGCTTGTCGTTTTAGCCGTTACAATACGTTACGTCACGATTCACGTGTTAGTGCCACTACACGCGAGTCCCGTTACCTACTGTTGTGAGAGGGAGTTCCCTTTCAAATTCTTTGTCTGGCATCTCCCTGCTTCGGGGGGAGGGGGGGGGCGATGGCCTCCCACCGAATCGCAGTTCACAGCCTTGTTATTGACAAGAAAATACGTCCTTGGCGCTGTGCGCTAGGTGTAGTGAGCACGATCGCATCGGGCGCAGCGTCGGCCAGCAGCCGGCCGGCGAGCAGCGAGCCTCGGTGAAGGCCGTCGGCGGCGGCACGAGAGGTGGGGTTGGAGAGGAGCGACGGATCAAAGGCGAAATCGCCGTGAGGCAGGACCGCGGCAGCGACAAGAGGCATGACGAAGCAGGTGGCGGCGAAGCGGCGACGGTTGAGCGCGGCCAACAACAGTCGGAGGCCAGGGCGTGAGCGCCAGCGGCCGGCCAAAGGTTTTTCTTGCTGAAAAAGAATTCACGCCGGCTCTCTCACCGACACAGGTTCGACACAGGTACCAAGAGGAGCACAGCAGACGGCAACTCCTCAAAAAGAATTCATCGCTGATTTCATTCCGCTTCGCCGGCTCCTGCTGGCACCGCCCTCTCCGCCATCTGTCGTGCGGCCCAAAAAGCCGCCGCCATCCTTCAAGTACGTGCAGCGCCTGCGCGAGATGCGGGTCGGCGGCGGCGACAAAAATGGCGACTCCAGATGTGCCGCTGCCTACCTGCAGCCGCCTGTGATTGTTGAGGCGGGCGGCGAGCACCGCTACTCTATCATCCTCCTTCACGGGCTCGGCAACCGTGGCTCCGATTTTCTGCCGATCCTCCACTCCTTCTCGCGGCTCGGGGTCGACGTCTCCAACGTCCGCTTTGTCTTTCCGAATGCACCGCGCCGGACAATGCAGTGGCCAGTCTGGGGACCCTCCCGTGGCGTCCAGGCGTGGTACACTTACTTCAGCGATGAGTCCGGCAAGAGCTCGGCCGACGCCGACGAGATTGCGACCTCCGAGCTCAACGCGAGTGCTGCCGCGCTGCTCGCCCTCGCAGAGGCTGAGGCGAGGTTAGCCGAGATTCGGCGGGATTCGCCTCCCAGTTGGATTGTTCGCTGAGATTAGCGGAGATCACGCGGCGGCCACGATGACCACTCTCGAGACGCCCAGCCGCTGCGAACACAGGCCGCCGCTCTCGGCGGCGACTTTGGCAGAGTCTTTGTGGGCGGGTACTCCCAAGGGGGCACCGTTGCGGCGCACGCGGCTGTTAGCGACGGCGCGCCGCGGCTGGCCGGGGCGCTGCTTACTCGCTCGGTGCTGATGGCCCAGACGTCCCTCTCTCCTTCCTCCGGCGAGGCGGAGGAGGGCGAGCCGCACTTGTGTTGCGAGGAGTGAGCGTCGTCGCTTCACCCTTCCTGCTGTGTCTGACAGGAGCCGGAGGGACGCACGCCGTTCTTCGCCTTTCGTAGCGGGCGCGACAACACGTACCCCATCGGCGTGCAGCGCCACTCCCCTTCGCTGAGGTGTGATCGGCGCCTCTTCACGCCCTCATCCCCGTGCAGGCGTGCAGCGCCACTCTCAGGAGCGGCTGGTCGCGGGCGGGTGGCCGGTCGTTGTGGCCAGATTGCTCCGCGGTACGAGCGCCCCTCTACGCCTCGCACTTGTGTGAGCAGGTGGTCGCTCGCCGTGTCCGAGTCCTCTGTCAACCACGCCACGTGGTAGAGCTCGCCCGAGCTTGATTATGGCGCCACCGCCCGCGGGCATCTTCACAGCCGCAACCGCGTGAACAGGTCGTGGGGCGAGTACGATTATGTCGCCGCGAGCGCCGCCTTCGCGCTAGGCTTGCGCGCCGACCCTCCCCCCACGGGAATCGGGCCAGGGCGCAGCTGCTGGACTGCACCCTGCCTCGACCTGCACGGCGTCCTCGTCTCGCTCTGGTACCGCTTCCCCTACCAGTGCGTGGGGCTGTCCCCTTGCTGCCGCGGCGGCGACCAGGCGCCAGCGGCGTCGCGGTGAGTAATTAACCATTTGAGGACACGTGTTTCACGCGTGGCACAGCGCATTTCAAGTCCCCAGTGAGCCCTGGTGGAGACGCGGACGAGCGATTCAGAGGTTGCATCCACTGAGAGAAGTAGGGTTGCCTAACGTTAATTTGGGGCCTAACAGTTGCGCTATTGTTGGCTGAAATCCTCAACGTTGTTCAAGTGTTCTCCCCAGCCCAAGCTGTTACTGTTTGTTACTGTTGTTACTGTTGTTCAGCGGCCAGCAAGCAGAAAATGGCAAAAAAACCGGGTAAAACCCGAAAATACCTGGGATTTTCCGGGTGTTTTCGGGTATTACCCGCACTGGACACTAGAGATCGTCGTGGGTCACTGCCAGGCCTTCCTTATTGTTGTTCAGCCGGCCTAACGTTAGCTACTGTTGTTAGGGGGGCCCACTGTTGTTCTGTTGTTACTGTTAACACTAGCAACACTGTTCAGCTCTTAACGTTAGGCAACCCTAGAGAGAAGGGCTCTCCTTTCCCTACGTACGGCTTTGGGCTTTACAAGACGTACCTCGTACGAGGACGCTCAAACATATTCTGTAAATCTAAATCACAAAATAGGTAAATACTAAAAAGACTTGAGAGCTTACCAGGGTTGGACAAAAAGAATTCAACGAGGTCGTGGCAAAAAAGAAGGGACTATTCGTGTTCTCATGGCCTCCCTCGCTCGAACCCCATCCCGGTCAGGGTGGCCTGAGGCGCGGCGCTCAACCGTCGCCGCTTCGCCGCCTCCTGCTGCGCCCTGCTCTCCACTCCCTGCGTGCCTCGCCGCCGCGCGTCCTCGATCGGCCTCCTGGTCTCGCAGAGGCCGCAGACTGGCGCGAGTGGTGGGTTGAGGAGCGTGCACGCGGGGCACGCCCACGCCGCCTCTGCCTGCGCCGCTGCCGCCGACGGCGTGGCGGTGCCGTTCGACGCCGTCGCTGCCACTGCCGCTCCCTGCGGCGCTCCCGCCGCGAGCTGCGGCGGCCGCTGCTGCGGCTGCGGCACAGGGAGAGGCGGCGCGGCCTGCACGCCGGGTGCTGGAGCGGCAAAGGAGAGGAGGGAGCCCGCCCGCCGCATCAGCTCGTGCATGCTGCGGCCGGTGGCGAGGGTCGCGTCGCCGTGCACCATGTACTTGTAGTACGCCTGCTGCCCGCGCTCCGCGTCGGCCGTGCCGGGGAGGATGTACCGGAAGTTGATGTTGACCCTCGGCCGGCGCGAGGCCGCCTTTGGGACGCGGTGGTGCCAGTGCCTAAGGGGAGATATGGGGAGATGTGGGGAGATATGGGGAGATATGGGGGGACGCGGTGGTGCCAGTGCCTCTGCGTGGGGCTGTGCATGACGAGCAGGTCTCCGTCGGCGAGGAGGAGGTCGCGCTGCGGGGTGGACCGGTCCACTCCGTCGTCGCCGCCGCCGAGGCAGCGCCGGCCACACGTTGCGCATTCGCCGCAGCTGGAAGGAGGCGGTCGCGCCGAGCGAGAGGGAGCCGATCGTGGGCCGCTCGCCGAGGAAGGTGCGCCCGTCCGTGTGCCATGCGATCTCGTCCGCCCCGTCCATGTAGAGCCGGAGGAGGATCGCGTTGAACGGCCCCCCAGACGCCTGGGCTTCCTTGAGTCTTGAGTCGCTGTCTCAACACGCGGCAAGTCGTACGTCCACGTTCCACACAGAGCTTCCCTCATCTTGAAGTGTTGCCATGTTCCTCTCCCTCCTCGCCATCACCGCGGCGCCCGTCCCCACCGTCATGCAGAAGAACCACACCATGTGCGCCAACGTTGCCGACGTGGTATGGACCGATTCTCAGCGCGCGGCAATCCTGTCCTTCTCCGCCGGCGGCCCAGCGGCAATGCAGGCTAGCGCGACGACTTGCCAGAAGACCTGCCTCACCTACGCGCTCTTCCATCGCGAGTACGACAACAAGGACTTTTGCTGCCACTACACTGCCGGCGAATGCGACATCTCGGCGCCGATCGACACGGCCCACGTCGCCTACAAGCAGTCGGACCAGCACGTCAGCTTCATCTTCCACTCGGCAGGGCCGACGGCACGCTCTATAGCCGCCCCGCAGCTGGCTGCGGCAGCCGCAGATCTCGACCCCGACGCTGTGCTCCTCTCGCTGGGCAAGGAGTACCGAGTCACGAGCCCGAGCCTGCAGTGCAGCACATGCTTCCCGGGCTCGACCGGCACACAATGCCAGAACGTTGCCAACAAGGTCTGCTACGACCTCGTCGAAGGCGTGTGCCCGAGCGGGACAGTCCTCTGCAACGGGGTAGGACCTTCGCCCTCTCCGATCCCGTCGACGAGCCCGTCGCCATCGCCGTCGCCGAGCCCCTCACCGCCGCCTGCTCGCTGGTACAGCCAGGAGAAGGACGACGTCAAGTGCCCTGCCGACGCCGCCCTCCAGCCCCTCCCACTGGCGGTGGACAGCGCGCCAACATGCAGGCAGGCGTGCTTGGACTACGCCTTCTACAGCCCCGCCCTTTCGGGCCACAACTTCTCGGGCTACAACGGCAAATACTTTTGCTGCCAGTACAAGGAGAGCAACCAGGGCGTGCCCGGCCAGTGCCGGATCTCCGAGCCGATCACCGCTGTGCACATGGCCTACCAGCCGGATCGGGAGCACAAGGCCTTCTTTTTCCATCCGTGGAACTAGTGCCCTCGCTCGAGCTCTGCTGCCGCCACGGCAGTAACGTGCGCGATTTCTGCCGTGCCGTGACGCGACAAGCCTCTACGGCGGGACCCTAGCTCTACGGGTGGAACCCCACCCACGACCGCCAACCACCCAGAGAAGTCCAGCTAGACGTGAATACTGTGCAATAGTCTGGCGTGGGAACTTTCGTGAATTAGAGGTAAAACTCATTCACATTCTGAAGAAAGAAAGAAAGCACGCAGAGCAAGTGCAGAGCCCGAGAGGGAGAGATATGGGAGACAGCACAGGCCGCCACCACACACGCTAATGCTTGCTGCGAGTGGATGTGGTTGTCTGTTGACAGTAGGGGGACAGGGTGCAACGGCTTTGGGATTTACGGGATCGAAAGGCCTTACCGTTGGTTGCAGGTTGCGGAAAGGGGGGGTAGAATCCGCGACGTTAAGTGATACCACCTTGTCGTGGTGACCGTAGGTAGGTAGGTAGAAAGGTGAAGAACAGCCAGGCTCGGACTGGACACCAACGCGGTATGGGTGGACGCGAGACAGATGATGACGGCACGCACGAGCGACACACAGACACAAACAAGCTCACAAGACACACAGCCAGCTGGCTAGCCACACACCCTGAGTTGGCGTACACATAACTCAGGGCCACATTCTTCCTGTCCCCCCCCCCCTGCACTCCAAGGTGCCAAAGCGCAAAGGAACAAACAAGGGCACAACATCACAACAGTCAACAGATTTGTGTTTGTTGTTGTCAACAGACGACAGGAATAACGTGCGAGGCTAGAGCAGCATGCTCCACCTCTAGCAATCTCGCCGGCCGGCGAGGCACGGACGAGACCGTGTGTGGGGTCTAGTGAGGTGTCTATGGACGCCTCCTCAGAGGCTAGCTGAGCGTGTGCAAAAGACGGACCTCCTCACGCCAAAGGAGCGCGAACCCCTTGTTTGTGGCTGCTTGGCCAATGTGTGTGATCCTCATGAGCCTCGGGACGGTGCCCAACCTAACAGCAAAGCCATGTTCCTCGTGCGGCTGCACCTCGCGAGCGGGTGCAGCGGCAGTGATGATCTCGAGGGTGAACATCGTGTCCGTTGGCAAGGCCGGCCGCGATGAGGCGTGGGTCACATCTGCGATCGACGTCTACACGACTCGACTGCGCTCGATCCTGGACGTCCAGACGACGTTCGTAAAGGACGATACCGCTCTCACCGCCGCCGTGAGGAAGAGTTCTGGTGGCGTGCTCGTGCTGGATGAGCGAGGGAAGCAGTGCACGTCGGTCGAGTTTGCAGAGCGCTTGTTCACCCAGCTCGATGACGGTGGCTCGCGGCTGAGCTTCTTCATCGGCGGTGCGGCCGGTTTGCCCGATGCTCTCAAACAGGACCGCTCTATTTTGCTCAGCTTGGGCCCGCTAACCTTCCCTCACCAGGTCGCGCGCCTCCTGTTGGTCGAGCAGATCTATCGAGCCACCGAAATACGAAAGGGAAGCGGGTATCATAAGGACTGACGAGTGGCGTATCGTGGATGTGCACCAGCCAGCTCACACACGGACATCCCCGCGCAGTGTGCTTGTTGCGTGAGTTCTCTCGAGTACGAGCGTCGATGGTCGAACCGCGCACCGCCCGCCGGGGGGCGCGCGGGCGGGCTGAGCGGAGGACTGAGTCCCCTTTTTGCTTCTCACCCCCCCCCCCCCACACACACACACACAGCTAAGACACACGGGACACACACACACACACACACACACACACACACACACACTGAGTTCACGGCACACTCCACACACAGAGACTGGGACACACACACTACACTTACACACACACGCGCGCACACACACACGAACACACACACACGCACACAAGTTCGCGATTGGGCCGGGAACGGAGCGTCCGAGCGCGGTAGAACCGTGCAGCCCACCCCTCTCACGTTGCGCCCGACGACGCGACTCGGTGTACCAGGTGGCGCTGTGGCGCCTGCTGCCAGAGAGGTGGGGCGTCGAGACGTGTGCTGGCAGGGGCGGGCGACGAGTGCGTGCAGTGTGGCTCGCCTGCCGGGCGACGACGTGGCGGAGCATGAACGCCGCCACGTCCGGGTTGTCGAAGTAGCCCGTGTGCGCCTGCGCGGCGGAGAGGTACTCGTTCGCCGCCTCGAGCTCCGTCTCCTGCAGCACCCAGTCGACGGGCTCGCCGCCGTTGAGCGCGTACTCCCGCGTCGCCTGGTCCGCAGCGCCGCCCGCGCCGTCGCTGCCGCCCTCGGCGTCCGCACTCCCATCGGCGGCCGCACTGCGCGGCCGAGCGGCCGCGTCGAGGGCGGCCGTCGCCGCAAGGACCTTTTCGCTGAGGGAGGAGTTGAACCAGGAGCCAACCGCCGACGCGCTCGAGGCGGCGGCCGCGCCGATGCCGGTCACGGCCTTTTGCACCGAACGGACGGTCTGCTTGACCTTGACGTGGAGCCGCTGGCCGTCGGCGCCGCCCGAGTAGGGGACGTAGGCGGCCGGGCGAGCGGCCGCGCCCGGGGGCAAGAGGAGCGGCTCGATGCGGTACGCGACGACGTCGTTGCGGTGGTACACGTTGAAGTAGGTGCCTAGCGGCGGGCATGCCACAGTCACGTCGTGCCGCGTCTCCTGGGCGTGCGGCAGACGCTGAAGCGGCGCCGCAGCGGGCGAGGGAGAAGGAGGGGCCGAGCGATGCGCCGCGCAGCGCCGCGAAGCAGCCGACCGGCGAGCCGAGGCCGACAAAGGCGGCGGGGGTGAAGTCGAGCTCGGCGGGCGGGGCGGCGGGTGGGGCGTCGGGCGGGGCGGGAGCCGGGGCGGCGGCGACGAGGGGGGTGTCGAGGAGGTCGAAGCAGATGAGGGAGCCGAGGGAGTGGCCGAGCAGCACGATGGGGCCGTCGAAGCGAGGGACGTGCTGCCGCCAGCGGCGGACGATGTCGTTCAGGCGCGACGCGACGAAGGAGAGCATCCTCCTGCGCGAGAGGGGGCGAGATGCGTGCGTGAACATGTCGCGTGCACGTGCACAGCGGCCGCGCTCGCGCTCCTGCGGTGGCTGTCCTGCTGGTAGAAGATGACGTCCATCACCACGTCGTTTGCGAGCTTGCGCAGAAAGGGCACCGACCGCTGCGTCACCGACTGCAGCGTCGCAAACGTGCCGTCCCCCTCCTCGCGCAAGCACGTGTGCCACTCGGCCGGCAGAAACTCAACGCGCCCTCCCCGTGCCGCGCCGCCGTCCACGCCCGTGCCGCCGCCCTCGTACCTCCGGCCCGCCGCGAGCGCCGCCGCCGCAGCCGCCGCAGCCGTCGGCGCCGGCGGTGGCGCCGACGAAGGCGGCGTGGCGGACAAGGAGTGGGCGGCCACCTTCGCGTCGTCGTAGCCGGCGAGCTTAAGCACGGTGCGCAGGTCCTCCTTGCGGCTCTCGTCGTCGCCCTCCTCCGCCGCGGCGAGGGCGGCCGCGTGCGAGCGCATCGCCGCGCAGCCGTCTCGGATGGACCCGATCGACTTGAGCGAGCCTGGCGAGGTGTGAGGAGGGTGAGGAGGGTGCGGTGCGGGAGGGCAGCCGCTGGTGGAGCGCGCGGGCGCCGGACGACCACACCGCCTCCCCCATGCCGTGGACAACGAGCACCAGCGCCTCCGCGGGCCGCTCTTCGTACTCCACCTACCGCAGCCGAGCGGAGGCTCCGAGCGGGCGCTCGGGAGGGAGAAGGGTGCTGCCCCAGGGTGCCGCCCATCCCTCGCAGTCTGGAGGCACGGCTGCAGAGGCACGACTGCATAAGAGGAGTGCTCCAATCACCTCCGCGGCGGAGAGAGGAGGCAGCTTGTCGCCTGCCCAGCCGCGGCGTGCGTACCACGAGAGCCGCTTCAGCGGGTTCCACGAAGGCTCCCCGACCGCCCGCATCACGACGAGAAGCTCGCCGTCGGCCGGCTGCCGCTTGATCCGGATGTCGTACAGGCCGTCCTCCGTCACGTAGCCGCACTCGCTCGTCGCCTGCCCGCGGACCATCGACCGCCACATCGCGTCCAGCGCCACGTCGTCCTGTCTCGCAAACGGGCGCCACACACCATTCGGCCACGAGCGGTAGCACCAGATGCTCCGCACGAGCGCCCGTTCCGACTCGGCGTAATAGCGCGCGCGCAGGCACCCGACGCTGATGGCGCGCGCCGCCTCCGCCTCCCGCTCCTCGTCCGCCGCGCTGCTGTCAGCCTCGGCCGCGCTCTCTGTGCGCGGCAGCGCTAGCGGCGTCGGCGAAGTGGCGTCGGCGGCACCCCGCGGGCCGTGCGTGCCCACGGTGAGGTGCGCCTCCCAGCGGCCGCCAAAGAGCGGCGTCGAGGAGCCGTCCTCGGCCCACAGTGCCTCGAGCGCCTTCTCATCGTGCGGCCGAAGCCGCTCCCACGACGCCGCCGTGCCTTCGTTGCCGTCAATCCGCTCGGCTCGCCGCTGGAGCCACGCGACAGGAGGCGGGCCGTCGGCGGGACCTTCGTGGGTCTCGTTGTCGCGTGGCTCGCTGTCCGACACAGGCTCGGCGAGGTCGTTCATCTGTCGACTGACTGTGGTTTTGGAACGAGCGGCGACAGCAGCGGCGACAGCGAGCGGCAACAGCGCGCACACGTTCGGCCGACAGGGTTCGGCACGAGAGGGAAAAGGCATGCGAGGGGGTGCTTTGTCTGCTTTTCGCGTGGTCTCTACAGAGGGAGCGTGGTCTCTACACCTTTTCACAGGGGGGGGGGTCCTTTTTCTGCTTTTCGCTGCGCATGCCCGAGCCCTCGGGGCCGAGCCCTCGGTCTTGAAAAGCGGCGTTCTCTTTAAAAAAGAAACACAGACGGCGCGCATGCGCCGCTGGCCCACAATCACTGCCAGGCATGACAGTGAGCTAGGGAGTGTGGCGATGGCACTCGTGTGCGGCGCTGCGCTTGGCCTGAGATTGTTTGTTCGCGCGACACGCCGCCGCGTGCCGTGCTGTGCCGTCATGAATAGTTGCTCAGGTCTCGCCCCTCCTCAGGTCCTCGCTCTTCCGGCTCTTCGCCCGCCGCGGTTCGTCCATGCCCTTTGCCGAGGAGACCAAGCTGCTAAAAAACCCCGCGCCGGCGCTTCGCCACGACTCCATCTGCTCCACGATTGGCTCGACTCCTTTGGTCAAACTGCAGCGCTCGGCGCCTCCGGGAGTCAACATCTACGTCAAGTCCGAATTCATGAACCCCATGGGTTCGGTCAAGGACCGGCTCGCGCTGGGCATGATCGAGTTCGCCGAGCAGCACGGGCTTCTCAAGCCGGGCCAGACGGTGGTGGAGGCGACCAGCGGAAACACGGGCCTCGGCCTGGCGATGGTCTGCGCCTCGCGCGGCTACCCCTTCGTCTGCGTCATGTCGGAGGCCTTCTCGATTGAGCGGCGCAAGATGATGCGATTCCTCGGGGCCAAGGTCGTCCTGACCAACCCCGCGCACAAGTTCGGGGGCATGCTGCAGACGCTACTCGCCCTCAAGGCAGAGGGCCCTCCTTGCCTCTCCTTCCCTGCCGCCGCCGCAGAGGCGGACGCCGGCCACTCCGTAGGAGAAGCACGGCTGGTACTGGCCGAACCAGTTTGAGAATGAGGCGAACGCGTGGGTGCACCGGCAGACGACGGGGCCCGAGATCCTGCAGGCGATGGAGGGGCTGAAGCTCGACTGGTTCGTGTGCGCATACGGGACTGGCGGGACGATCAAGGGGGTCGGGCAAGTGCTCAAGGACAAGTCGCCACACACAAAGGCGCGCGGCACTCCCAGCGTCGCCGGGTGCGGAGAGGACAGCGTCGAGGCGCGCGGGTAGGTGCTGCTCTGCGAGCCGTCCAACGCTCCGGTCGTGTACAGCGGCATCAAGACCGAGTACACGGCCGACGGCTCCATCACCAAGGAGTCGCACCCCGTCTTCCGGCCGGCTGCTGCAGGGGCGGACGCCTCGTGAAGAGCGTCTCTTCACGCATCTATTGTGCGCAGGCCGCACCTGCTGCAGGGCTGGACACCCGACTTTGTGACCGCGCGATGTGAGCCGCTGCTTGTCGCCATTTGTCAACTCACTTGCTGTGCTTCTCCTCCCATAGGTCCCAAAGATGGTCGAGGACTCGACCGAGCAAGGCGCACACCGCACGAGCCCGACACGTCCACGACACGCCCACGACACGTCCACGACGTGTGCCGGCATCCGCTTGTTGACAGGCTTGTACGATGAGCTCTCGCACGTGTCCGGCGCGGAGGCGGTCGCCGCCTCGCAGGAGCTCGCTCGGTCGGAGGGCATCTTCTCCGGCTCGCGCGGCGGCAGAGGGGCGGGATGGCGTCTCTGTGACGCGACTCCTCACGGGTCGCGGACGCGCCACCGTAGGCACGAGCGGCGGGGGCGTGCTCGCCGTGGCGCTCCGGAAGGCGAAAGAGCTGCCTGCGGGCAGCAACATGGTTGTGATGCTGCCAGACACGGGCGAGCGGTACCTCTCGACGCCGCTCTTCGACGACGTCCCGGCGGATATGACGGCCGAAGAGAAGGCGTACTTCGACTCGGTGCCTGCGACCACGGCCTTCCCGCAGCCGCTCCCGCAGCCAAACGACGAGGGGCGCCAGGTCGTGCGCGATTTCATCGCCACGGACACAGTGTCCATCGTCGCGATGGAGTCGTGCGAGTTTTGCTGGACCATCTTCAAGTTTCTCAAGGCGGATGCGCGCCGGAGCGTCTTCGCCGCGGCGCGAGGCCCGAGAGACACCTCTTGCCATTGGGCTGCTGCGTAGGCGATCGGTGTCTCCTACTCGTCGCTCAACTTCGACGCCCTCGAGTACGCGCCCGGCAACAAGGGCAACGTGATCCGCGCGTGCACGCAGGAGCTCACGGGCGAGGTCACCTTCCCCCAGGTCTTTGTCGATGGCAAGTTCATCGGTGGCGCTGCCGACGCGTGCATCAAGTGGAAGAAGGGCGAGCTGCAGCCCCTCCTCGAGGCGGCGGGCGTCAAGCCGCCCGTCGGCGACAACGGCGATTGGAACGGCTACGGCGGCGACCCGTTCGAGTTCCTGCCAAAGTGGATGACCAAGAACCCGCTCCGCACAAAGTGAGGACTCGACTCGAGGGCGTTTCGCTCTGCGCCTTCTGATAGACTGAAAATAGGAGAGTCGATCACTGACGTGCACTTTTACGTACCCGCTACCCGGCGGGAAGCGGGTGAAGTCAACGGTGTCGCAGGAGCGCGTTCCCTGTCCGCTGTAGACTGTACACGGCTGCCCCTCTAGTTTAAGCAGAGGGTCGCACAGCGCCCCAAAATCCACCAGTGTGGGATTTCGCGCACAAAAATTTGACTCTGAATAGCTCCATGTACCTCCTGTCGTTATAGACGTGGAGACGCGAGGGTTGCCCCCCCTTGCCCCACCACCTCGTGTGTGTGGAGAAGTTTACCTTACCTTACCTTACCTTACCTCCTGTGAGCGCTGTGGTCGCCGCAGACTGGCTCCGACTTGACGGGCGCATGGAGACGTGATGCCTCCATGCGCCCGTCGCGTCGAAATCGACATGCGAGTCGATCTTTGGCCCGCCAGAGGTACATGCGGCGTTTCGGGCGACAAAAAACAGCGCTGTGACCGCGAAGTGGCGGTGGACATGCTCCCATGTTGCCGACGCGGCGCCGGAGTGGCCGGCGCTGCTCGCCGCGACCACGACGGCTACTCTGATACTCCGGGCCGACCCGTCCTACCCGACGGTGGCACTCCGCGCCCGCCGACCCGGACGGCACAATCATTGGCGAGCCGGTGCTCCAGGAGGGCGTGATTGGCATCCCTTCGCCGCGCAGCCTCGGCCTCTGCGCCGGCGCGACCCGGCCCGCCGTACTCACGTCCGCGACACGTCCGCGACACTCCCACGACACTCCCACGACACTCCCACGACACTCCCACGACACTCCCACGACACTCCCACGACACTCCCACGACACGGGTCCAGACGTGCCCGTGCGGGGAACGCGTCGCGCAGGGGTGACCGACGCGCCGTTCGCGACGACGACGGAGGTGTGCTGCCACCGACTCTCCCGGAGGCGGACCCGGTGACACGTCCGGCCACACGTCGGCGACACGTCGGCGACACGTCCCCGCAGGTGTACCCCGACTCTCCAAAGGCGGACGCCGACATCTGCAACCGCGCGCAGGTCGCCGCCATCACCTCCGCCCTCGACTTCCTCCTGGCGGAGCGCCGCGCCGCCGGCGGCGCGGGAGGGGCGGCGGCCAAGGCTGAGCTTTAGGCACAGGGTGGGCGCTAAGTCGCTTGCCGTACATGTTTGCGCTCCTAGTCCTACGGCTCTAGCGGCAGCCAGCATGCTGTTTTTCAACTGAGGATATTGCAACCCTCCCGTGACGAAAATGAACAACGCACCAGGCGACTGCCTGAGAACGCTGGATCGAATCGTAGGAGGCACCTAGAGCAAAATCGAGCCCGCTCAGGTGAGAAAATATATATAAGGGTCAAAGCAGGTTTCGAACTGGCGACCTTCCGCGCGGAAAGGTATCCAGCATGAAATCGCTGCGAGTGAGAGAGAGGTCGCCATTCGAAACCTATATAGCATACCGGAGGGAATTAGACACCACAGATACGCACACACCGACGCCCGAAGTGCCAAGAAGGACGTCATTAGTACGAAACCTCATCAGAAGGCCATGGGCGCCGAGAGAACATTCCCCCGAGAGGACAAAAAAAGAAAAAAGTCGACGCACCCCCTCCTTGCGCAGTGTCCCTCGCTATGTGTCGCCGCTTCGGGGCACGCTATCCTGCGCAGGCAGGGCAAGCGGGGGCGGGGGGCACTCCCACAGACGTATGTATCTGTGGTGACTGTCTCCAGTCTCGGAGGGGGGCAAGAAGGTAAGAATATCTAATTTTTTTTCAACTGTTGGATATTTAATTTGGGCGAGCGCGTATACCGTATTCGCAGGCTGCGCGCCAAAACACACGAGGCGGCGCCCCAAAAGAAAAAACTGCGCCCACGTAGGCTCAATCCTCAAATGTCAAAAAAAGGAAAAAGTCAGTAAAATACGCGCGCACGTGCCGGTATGACGTATGTCGTCTTCACGTGTGAACTCAATTACTGACGTGGTACAGTACTGTCCGTCTACACTATACCCCGGGCGCGCGGCATCGCGCCTCCTCTCCCTTGCTCTCGTCGCTGCTAGAGAGCACCCCCTCCTCGGCGATCGGCGGGCGCATGGTGTCCTAATCCCCCAGCGTCGCTGCGAGGTCGATGGGCGCCTCCTCCTCCTCCTCCTCCTCCTCGATCTTCTTCAGGTGCCTGCCGCCGAGCACAAGCGCGTCGCCAAGCTTTGCGAGGCCGGCATCCGCCTGGAAAGCCGGCGCCATCCACGTGAGAAGTAGGTGCGATGCCGCCTGCCGAAATGCGAGCGGCCACTTTGCGAGCTCGCGCGCGAGCGTGGCGCAATCGGCGACAGTTCGGGTGCGAGCGAAGTCGGCCTCGGCCGCCCAGGCGCCGAGGAATACCACCGAGTAGAAGTGGCTGAGAGCGTCCTCCGGGAAGCTCGGCGCCCCGTCCTCCCAGTAGCGCGAGCTATTCAGCGAGACGTGGCTGCGCCAAGGCACCTCAGCGGCGACAAACGAGCGGAGGAGCGCGCAAATGTCGTTCATCGGCAAAGACAGCTGCGCGGAGATGGCGCCGACGTCTTGCACGAGCGCAACGGCGGCGGCCGTTTCGAAGTCTGCGTAGTCGTCGATGAGAAAGTAAGTAGCGAAGGAGGTTTCGATGTACTTGATGGCGGACTTCTCTCCGATGTAGAGCGGATTCTTGTCGAGCCAGGAGGTGAAGCCGCTCACTGCCAGCCACCTCTTGAGCAGGGCGCGAGACCACTCGAATGGCGTCCCACGCATGTAGTCTGGGTCGAACTCGAGAGTGCTGATCTCCTCCTCGCGCAGCCTCCAAAGAAGGACGCTGAACTCGCTGGCGTCGAGCTGCAGATCGACGGCGCGCTGAGCGAGGCAGTGCGCGCGGGGCAAATCGAAATCGAGTTCGTCGAAGAAGCGTCCGACCACGTTCAGCAGAAAGTATGCCCTCGCCTCGGGCGATGCGGCTCGCTCAGCAAACACACCGAGTGCGAGTGTTGCGATGCCAGAGCTGCCTCGCACGCGCGCCTTCTCGTCCACGCGCTGGATCAGACCGTGGGCATCGCCCCCCAAGTACGCGGCATCCTCGTCATTCTCGAACGCATTCGTCTGGCCGAAATCGAGGAGGTTTCTCGCGAGGTCAGCGAGAAGCTGGGCGGTCCACTCCGCGTTCCGCAACAGCCTAGACGCCGCCGAGCCAAACTCGTAGAACATAGACCCTTGGATGTCGAGGAGGAGCGCCGCACCAAGCGTGCCTTCGTCGGACTGGCGCTCGTCGCGAAATCGCGCTGCAAGCTCCACGAACTCGACGGGAGCCATGCGAGTCGTCACCGCACACAAGAGCTGCTCGAAATGCTGCTGCATATTCAGCCGCCAGTATGAATCCACCGACTCCAGCAACGGCCGGAAGTGGCCGAGGATGCAGCGCGCCCAGTCGCCGTGAGCGAGCGCGAGCATTGCGAGTGTCTTGATCGCGTCCCCGTTGCGCGCGGAGCACGCCTCGGTGCGAACCTGCGTGGGAAAGAGGAAGCCGAGCACCGCCTGCGTAATCTCTTCGGGCAGCAAGCCCGGCACAAACGGGACCACATTTATGTGGGCGAGGGCCTCCAACTGTCGTCTTGCGTCAGTCTTTGGCCGTCGCATGTCGGCAAAGCAGCGGGCGCGGCGAGAGCTTCGGCGCCGGAGCCGCGAGAGCTTCGGCGAGAGCTTCGCCAGGCCGGTAAACTCGCTCTGGGTCTTTGGCGCCCGCTTTGAGGATGTGCCCGCCACGTTTTCTTCTCTGCACTGTTCTCGAGGTACCTCGAGGTCTCGAGGTGGATATCCTTTGGCCGCGTTGGGTAGCGAGGATTGGTGTGACGCAATCCACGCAGGCGTGGTTTCTGATGGCCGACCGTCAGTGCACGGAGTTGCCCCTTCTCCGACTGCCCCGGCTAGTTCCATCCAGGGTTCGTCGGGACTCGGGAGTGTGTGCTGTCGGGCTGTCAGGCAGCTGTCAGGCTGTCACGTTAGGGCCTGACAGCGACGGAGCACCTCGCCTGTCAGACTCTGCTGTCAGGCTGTCAGATACGTGCTGTCCGCAGAGAGGGGTCCGCGAGGCACGAGAGGCGTAGAAGAGAGGCTGGCGTGCCCCGCACCTCCCGGTTGGCAGTAGGAGGGCCCGCCGGTGAGACCACTGATTTTGGTGCCGACCATAAATTCTCGCCACTGGAACGCATGCTACTTACCCGAGCTGCTGTCTGTACAGAGATGCCAGCACCCCCCACAGGCAGAGCGCTCCTGCTGGGGGGGGGGTCCGGACCCCCCCAGCAGCAGAGCGCTGCTGCTGGGGGGGGGGGGGCGGCCATGGCTTTAGATGTGCAGGGGGAGTAGCGAGCAGTGTGCGGCCGCTCTAGCCTTCTGGGGCCCTACAGTCATATGCCTGGCGTCTGGGTGGGGGTGGCCGCCGCCGTCTGTGCCGCCGCCGCCGCCTGCGCCTGCGCCGCCATCTGCGCTCCCCAGGCGGCGGCCGCCGCCGGCGTGATCACGCCGTAGGAGGGGGGTAGCTGGGTAGCCGCCGCCGGCGTCATCGGCGTCAGCGCCCCCGCCACCGCCCGGCTCCTCTTGATAGTGTCATAAGTGTGGCTGGTGTGTTCAGGCTCTGACAGCGCCCCGACAGCGGACCACCCGACAGCACCTGACAGCAACAGCCCAACGTCTGACAGCAGCAGCAGCCTGACAGCTCTGACAGCTCCGACAGCGTCTGACAGCAACACCCGACAGCTCCGACAGCACCCGACAGCTACAGAGCACCTCGCCTGTCAGACACGCACCCGACAGCACCCGACAGCACTGACAGCACCTGACAGCTGGTCTGACAGAGGCACCTGACAGTGCCTGACAGCTGCCCGACAGGGACAGCCCGACAGATCACCTGACAGCACCTGACAGCCTGACAGCCAGGGCTCCAGGGGCGGTGGGGAGGGGTCCGGTTTCGTGTGGCTAAATACTTGCCTTTCGGGGAGGGGCCTCGGTTCAAGCGCTCATCACAGGAGTCAGAGCTGCCTGACGTCTTCCCCCCCTCCCTCGAGGCAGCGCGCGTTCCAGCGAGCGCAAAAACCAAAATTCCAAAAATAAATCCAAATCCGGAGCCACAGTACGGCTTTAAATAAAAACGCACACACCGAATCAGAAAGGGGGTTACGATAGAACGGACACCGCAGACCGGGCGGGACCGCGGTCTCCTGAGCTGTGCACACGACCAAGGAAGGGGGGGGGTCGAGACGCGAAACGACAGTTTGCCAGTGCAATGGCCAATGGCGCGCGTCACGCCCGCTGCTTCTTCTTGCGGTCACGGAAACGCACCCAGCGCGGCGCGACGATCGAGAGGGAGCGGCGGCCGGTTGCGCGCAAGCACCGCCCGCCGTCGCACCGCTCCGAGAGCGTGAAGGCGTGCCGTCCCGGCATGTACTCGGCGTTCCAAAACAAGTGGTACTCGCGGCCGGCGACGCACGGGAAGTCGACCGTCGCGGTGTGCCCCTCCGAGTTTGAGAAGCCGAGCGGCTCCTGCGCCCCAACGCGCGAGCAGGTGGCGTACACGGCGATGAGCGTGTCGCGCGTGGTGGACGAGACGCGGCACACGCCGCCCTCGCGGTACGCGCCCGGCTGCCAGACGAAGAACTCGTCCGCCTTGCCCGAGGCGTAGTTCGTGCCGGTGCTCGCGCGCAGCGGGGCGCGGCACGTCGCGCCGCGCCGCGTCTTGTCGCGGCACTCGGCGGCGAGCGTGTAGACCGCCGCCTCGCCGACGGAGCAGAGGCATTCCTCGTTGCAAGTCGTCGCCGTCCGGTCGTCGGTGGAGACACGCACCTTCATCGCGGTGACGGCCAGCTCGGCGGCGGCGGGCAGCGCCGCGGGGTGGCCGAGCTGGCCGAGGCTGCGGGAGCGCGAGGCCGGCGCGAGGCCGCCCTCCTGCGCCGCCTCGCGCCGCCCCTCGAGCTCGCTCGCCTCGAGGGAGCGGCGGCGCGGCTCGCCGACGAGGAGCGAGAGGGAGAAGAAGCGCTCGGCACGAGACCAGCTGGCGGCGAGGGGCGGGAGGGAGTGCGAGGCTCGCGCCTTGAGCGGCGGCAGCGGCGTGCACAGCCCCCTCCCATCTTGGTGGGACCAACGCGCCGCGCCGCCCGCCTCCGAAGCAGGGGATGCCGCCAGCGAGGTGCTCGCCTCGTCGGCGCGCACGCAGACGGAGCGGTGGGTCAGGATGTGGGCGAGCCCGTTGTTCTGCAGCGAGAGAACGAGGCTGCCGCTCGAGCCTCCACTCGACGCGCCGCTCAGGCTGACGCCGTGCACCTGCAGCTGCGCGCCCGCCGCTGCGAGCAAATAGGTTGCCGCGTACACCGACTGCTCAGCGATGGGGGCGATGCGGCTCGGCGCCGGCCAGAAGCCGTCCCGCGAGTTGCCAACCTACGCGGGGCCTTCCGAGCGGGCTGAGGGAAGCGCCCGCCCGCCGGAGCAGCCCCTCCCGGTAGCCACCAGCCTCGAGCGTAAACGAGTAGACGCCCTCGTCGCCCCACCCCCAGTCGTCCGCCTCGCCGTTGGTCGTGTAGCCGACCACCTCCCAGGCGCGGCCAGAGGCGTACCCGTTCCGCGCCTAGAAGGTTCCTAGGCGGTTCCTGGAAGGCTCCTAGAAGGCGCGGCCAGAGGCGTACCCGTCCCGCGCCGTCATCTCGAGCGCAAACTCCTGGTAGGCGGAGAGGTCCGCCACAGAGAGCTTCGCGCGCCAGTCGTACGAGAAGGGGAAGGCGAGGTCCTCGCCCCAGCCGTGCCTGCGGGGTCATGTCCACAACTGATGTCCACTACTGATCAACTCATGTATTCATCGCCCAAGCCGTGCCTGCGAGATCATATGATTCTACTCCTCGCCCCCCAGCCGTGGCCTGCGCCACACTGCTTCGGCTCGCGTCCGGCCCCCGAGCCACTCTCGGCCGCGGCGCCAGCGCGTGCGGCCCCTGCTCCACCCCCGTTCGCCACTACCACCGCCTCGCTACCACTACAGCCCGCGCCAGTGCAGCGTTGCCGCCGGGCGGTGCTCCTTGACCAGCGCGCGGATCGCCTATAGAAAAAAGAAATACAGATGGGAAAAAGAAAAACACGCGCTGCTCCTTGACCAGCGCGCGGATAGCCTGCGTCTCGGGCTCCGAGAAGGCCGCCGTGCCGCGGTACTCCTCGGAGCAGCCCGAGCCGCTCGAGCCGATCGAGTCGTGCGCCCACTTGTGCCCAAAGTTGCGGTTGAGGTCGACCCCGTCGCCACTCTCGCGACCGCACGTCTTGAGACCGTTCTTGCGCCGCATGCCGCCGCCGCGCGGCGAGTGGGCGCGGTTCCACTCGTACCCGTCCGGGTTGGCGACCGGGACGAGCAGCAGCTTGCGGGACTGGACGAGCCGCGCCTGCGGCCGTGAAAGGGGCCGCCGCCAGCGCGTGGGCGAGGTGTGGCCACGGTGGGGCGGAGGGGTGGAGGGGGTGGAGCAGCGCGCCGCTTGCGAGTCGGCGTCGCGGGCGGCCGAGTCGAGGGTGACTTGCAGGAAGCGGAGGAGGCACATGAGGGTCTGCGGCTCGCGCGCGTGGACCAGCGAGGTGTAGAGAACGGCTGGCCGTGCCGACGCGCGGGTGCACTCGCCCAGCCCCGCCGTGGCGCACCAGACGCGGAGCGGCCGGCCCTGCCGCGACTTGCCCTGCGTCGGCAGCTCGGTGAGCAAGGTCGGGTGCTCTGATCGGAGCCGCTCCAGCTCGGCGTAGGCCTCGCTCAGCGTGAGGAAGCCCCCCATCGAGCCCGACGCCAGCCGCCGTCCTGGCGCCTCGCCAACGCCCGGCCGCCGCTGCTCCGCGAGCGCCCGGCCGGCGGCGGCAGCGCGGCGCGCGTAGTGGGCGGTCGCATCGCGCGCCAGCAGCGTGGCGCGTGCACCCGCGGCCTCCTGCAGCCGCTGCCACTCCGCCGCCGCGAGGGTCAGCTCGACGTGCGATGCGTTTGCCTCGCGCAGCATCCGGATGGCGCGGCCGGCGGCGGGCGAGGCGCGGCCCACGCTTGCAGGCCAGGGCTGGTCGAGACGCGCTACCACATACCCGCCCTCGCCGGCACTGGGTAGGGCTGGCGAGAAGAGGGAGAGCATCGACCTTCCCTCGCGCCGCTGACCCTAGCGCAGCCTCTTCAAGCAGCGCCGGGGAGGGGGGGGAGGGCAACCGCTGAAGAAAATGGTTCGGGAGCTGCACAAAAAAGGGCAAAACGCTGGAGAGGTATATAAAAGCATGATGGGGCGCTTTCCCCGTTAAATCAACGGCACCCCCTGCTGAATGCGGGGGCGCCCTCGATTTAACGGGGCCAGCGCTCCATCCTGCTTGCATATACCTCGCTCCCGTAGGCCCGTCGCTCCGTAGCCCAGTAGCGCGCCCCCGCCACCGTCAGTTTTCGCGCCCTCCTCGGGCAGGGCACCCATGGAGCGGCATCAGACGGATTGGCATAATTTTCAACCGGGCGGTAAATTTGCTGTTACGGATGATAACCTTGACATATTTGTAGAAGAAGATGGTTCTGGCGGTCCTAGATATTGTTTGATTGCCTTTTCTTTGTAGTCAACAAGTGGCGGGCCTTGGGCGTGTTCAGGACGCGGTGCGACAGTTTCCACTCGGTGAACGAGCGCGCCTGCGTGTGCATCTGTACGAGAGCTCTTACCGTAGGCTCGCCTGTATGCTTGTAGTCGCGCGTGTCCGTCGTTGGTCGATTTACCGATTTTGTAGCGGTGGCGGTCGCTTTTGAGTTTGTTGCTTATACAGTATACGATGGTTTTATTTTTCACGTCGTACTTTTCTAGAAATTCGTCTATGTCCATGCCTGCGGCGCTGCTAAAAATTACGGGCATTGTAGTTCGGGCCCACCTCCGCCACGCTGTCCAGCAGCTGGGCGGCGCTCGCCATCTCGACCGCGTCGTCCTCCGGCGGAAGCTCCGCGTTGCCCGCGGCCGCTTCCCGAGCGCGCTCGTCGCGCATCCGCTCGTGGTGGGCCTGCCGACGCGCCACGCCGGCGCCCGTGTGCCTCGCCGCCGCGTCCGCGGCGACGGCATCGATGCTGTCTGCCCGAGCGTGACTCGCAACTCCACGATTTGCGGTCCACCGACAAATTTGGCTGCCCCCATCAAAGTTGCTTCCTTCCTTAGATACATACATACCTAACCGTGAGTTGTCTGTTACACCCCCTATTACAAACCTGCCAACGTAGACTGTAGACGCCCCATTGCCGCATGCCGGGGAATGTGAATGAGAACTCCAGAGGGCAGAGAAGTCCGATGTGAACGATGTGTGAACACGACCCTGCCAAGCGCGCCCACACCACAAGCCACACAAACGACAAAGGGCCGTGGAGTGCGGAGAGGCGAGGCTGCCTCAAGGCGATGATCGCGCAAACCAGACACTAGGGCGCCGCCCTCTGGCCCGCCGCCGTGCGCGCCGCCCCCATCTTCAGCTCCGCCACCTGGTCGAGCGCGTCGCCGAGCAGCCCCTTGGCCACGCCCAGGTCGCGCAGCTGCTCCACGCCGCCGCTCGCCCGCACCTCGGCGGCGTGGTCGGCCACGTAGCGGCGGCACTGCGCGAGGAGCCGCCCGTCGCCCGTCGTGTGCGCCGCCTCGAGCAGCGGCACGGCGCTCGCCGGCCCGACGCTCTCCTGCAGCGCCTGCGCGCAGAGCCGCTCGAGGCGCGGCACCTGGTACATCTGCGCCAGCTCCCGCAGCACGAGCGCGCGCCGCGCCTGCTCGCCCTCCCCCTCGCCGAGGTCGAGCTGGTCGGTGCAGAGGTAGTCGATGAAGGCGGTGAAGCTGGCGAGGTCCGTCTTGGGCACCGTGATCTCGGCGGCGTCGCGCTCCTTGCACGCCGCCACCACACAGGGATTTTAAATGATCACGTTGTATGGGAGGCAGGGTGGGAGGTTTCTTAATCTAAGCCGTAAATGGGTCCGGCGCATGATTTTACTTCTCCATAACCCTGGTTCACTTAGAGAAAATATGACAATATCGGATATCGTCCTGCTCAGGGCCATCTCGCAGCAGCAGGGTGGGAGTGTCTCCAAGGCGTCGGTCCTCGCGATCGTGCGGGTGGTTGTAACAACACGGGAGCTCAGGGTGGTCACGGCATGCACGGCAGATGATCTCCTTTGCGACCGCCGGCGCTGGCTGGTCGTAGTCAGGTGGTGCTGCGCCCGTGGTCCAGAGCTCGTGGCCAGACGTCTCCTCCGGCGCGAGGCTGCACGTCACAGGGCAGGCCTTCTTAACTTCATCCACGCAGGTCGTGTCGCAGGCCGAGCTGGTGGCGTCGCAGAGGCCAAAGCCTTTCGCTTGCTCGCACGTCGGGGTGAAGCCGGCGTCACACGGTGCCAGAGCTGGGGCAAAGAAGGGCTCGCGCGCTTTCGGAGTGACGTTTTGCGCTGCCTCGCGCAGGTCGTTAGGCGCGGGCGCCGCGAGGGCGGCGACGACAATAAAAATGTATATATATCTCTGGAGGGGAATAAAAAGAAACCTCTTGCGCCTCACGTACGGATCATGTAGTCTGTCAGTGTGCCCGTGGTAGTGAGAGACTGCTGGTGAGAAGCCGGAGGAAGGTCGCTAGTCGAGAGAGATCGCCAGTGGAATAGGGAGTCCACCGTGCTGCGAGCCTGTCGCTGTCCCTTGTCAGGAGCAGGAGAACTAGGAGAGCGCAACCAGTAGGAGGCCCGCGCCTGCCCCCGTGCCGCCGGGTGCAACCTGTCCTATACGAGAGAGGAATCCCTGGGACCCTGTCGTGTGGGTGAACCCTGCCCAGCCCCCCTCCGTGTCGCGATGCGCTCCCCGCTCCCGTTCCCCTGTGTCCCTGATCGTCCTTCCAAGATCCTGCTCGTGCAGGTGGGGACCCTGTCCCTCTCCCACCCCTCGTTTGGCGTGCCCGTTTTATTTAATTATTTATTTATGTAGTCCCCAGAATCGCTGTCCTCGGATTCTGAAAACCTGGTTTTTTCTCTTTCTGGCGGCATGAGCGGCGCCCTCCCAACCCGTCTCGCCGACCTGGCTCGGGGCGACCTGGCCTCGCTGCGCGCCTTCCTCTCCGGGCGGCGGACGCGCGGCACGTCGCTCGCGGCCCAGCTCGACGCGCGGCACGACACCGAGAAGCAGGACACGCTGCTCACCTGGGCCGCTCGTCACGGGCAGGCCGAAGCGGTGCGGCTGCTGCTCGAGGGCGGCGCGAGCGTGGGGGCGACGACTGGCGGCGGCGCTTCCGCGCTGTATATCGCGTGCCAGAACGGCCACCTCGACTGCGTCCGGCTGCTCCTCGAGGCTGGCGCGGCGACCGACCAAGCCAAGCAGAACGGCGCCACGCCGCTGTTCGCCGCGTGCTACAAGGGCCACCTCGAGTGCGCCCAGCTGCTGCGCGACGCTGGCGCTGACATCAGCCAGGCGAGGAACGATGGTACCACGCCGCTGTTCATGGCCTCCCAGAACGGCCACCTCGAGTGCGCCCGGCTGCTCCTCGAGGCTGGCGCGGCGACCGACCAAGCCAAGCAGAACGGCGCCACGCCGCTGTTCATCGCGTGCTACAAGGGCCACCTCGAGATCGCCCGGCTGCTCCGCGAGGCTGGCGCGGCGGTCAACCAAGCCCGCAACAACGGCGCCACGCCGCTGTTCATGGCGTGCAATAAGGGCCACCTCGAGATCGCCCGGCTGCTCCTCGAGGCTGGTGCGGCGGTCAGCCAGGCCGAGCAGAATGGCGTCACGCCGCTGTACATCGCGAGCCAGGAGGGCCACATCGAGTGCGTGCGGCTGCTTCGCGACGCTGGCGCTGGCATCAACCAAGCGATGAACGACGGTACCACGCCGCTGTTCATAGCGAGCCAGGAGGGCCAGCTCGAGTGCGTTCGGCTGCTGCGCGACGCTGGCGCGGCGGTCAACCAAGCCCGCAACGACGGCGCCACGTCGCTGTTCGTTGCGTGCCAGCACGGCCAGCTCGAGTGCGTCCGGCTGCTCCTCGAGGCTGGCGCGGCGATCGACCAGGCTGATGAGCAAGGCGCCACGCCGCTGTTCGTTGCAGGCCACTTCGGGCAGCTCGAGGTCGCCAAGCTCCTCTCCTCCTACGGCGCCTCCCGCGCCGCTACGCCCTTCGGCACGCCCGAGGAGGTTGCAACGGAAGAAGGCCACGCCGACCTCGCCGCCTGGCTGGTCGCCAGCCGCGGCTGGACGCCGCTCGCGCACCTTGAGACCCTCACCGCCGCCCGCGCCACCTCCCTCCTCCGCAGCGGCGCAAGCCTGCACGAGGGCGAGCCGACGCCGCTGCGGCGCGCCGCGGGCGGCGAGGGCGAGGCGGCGGCGCTGGTCCGGCGGGCGGCGGCGCCGTGGTCGCCGGCAAGCCACCCGCTCTTCCCCGCGGCGGCCCGCGCGCGGGCGGCGCTCCTCGTCCGCTCGATCTACGAGATCCACGAGCGGTACCACCTCGACTCGGCCGGAGCCACGAACGGCATCGCGGCGCTCGACTTTGGCCACTGCGTCTTGGGCTTCGCCATCACGCGCGAGATGCAGTAGGGGAGTTGCAGCCCTCACGCTCACGGCCGACGGCGCTGTGAAAATGGTGCGGCGTCGTTGAATCTTTTAGCGTGTTAGTGCCAGTGCGCGCCAGTCCCGTGCCCAGACAGCAACCGCCCTGCGAATTCTTTTACCTGTGGTTGTAGCGAGCACTTCGGGTGGTCCGCCGCCACACCCAATGCATGCCGATGCCAAAGCGTGTTAGTGCCAGTGCGCGCCAGTTCCCGTGCCCAGCTCAGCAACCGCCCTGCGAATTCTTTTACCTGTGGTTGTAGCTTGTAGCGAGCACTTCGGGTGGTCCGCGCCGCCACACCCAATGCATGCCGATGCCAAACATCTTCCCATAGCACTCGGACCTGGTCGAGCGCGTCGCCGAGCAGAGCCGCTCGAGGCGCGGCACCTGGTACATCTGCGCCAGCTCCCGCAGCACGAGCGCGCGCCGCGCCTGCTCGCCCTCCCCCTCGCCGAGGTCGAGCTGGTCGGTGCAGAGGTAGTCGATGAAGGCGGTGAAGCTGGCGAGGTCCGTCTTGGGCACCGTGATCTCGGCGGCGTCGCGCTCCTTCATGCCGATGCCAAACATCTTCCCATAGTACTCGGTCTCGGACCGCACGCAGAGCAGGTTCTTGCTCACGTGCTCGATGCGCTCCTCGTCGTCGCCGAGGAGGAAGGTGACCAGGCCGGTGGGGAGGGCGGGGTCGCCCCGCATCTTCTTCATGTCGGCAAAGAAGGTCGAGGGCGCCACCACGAGCGGCGCAAAGGAGGGAGGCGGAGGAGGCGCAGCCACGCAGACCTGGCGGAGAGCCGAGTCCTTTGTGCGGACCACAGAGTGCTGCCGTCGGGGCTGATGGCGACGCTGACTGGGTTGTCGAACTGAGCTTCACGGCCCACGCCATCAGAGCTGCCCCCAGCGCCGCTGCCCGCGAGCGTAGTCACCACGCCCGTCGCCACCTCCACGCGCCGGATCTTGCGGTTGCTGTAGTCCGCCACAAACAGCGCGCTGCCGTCCGGGCTGACGGCGACAGTGGCTGGGCGCGAGAACTGCGCTGCGCCGCCCACACCATCGGCGCTGCCTTGGGCGCCGCTGCCCGCGACAGTCGTCACTGCGCCCGTCGCCACCTCCACGCGCCGGATCTTGCGGTTGCCGAAGTCCGCCACAAACAGCGCGCTGCCGTCCGGGCTGATGGTGACGCCGAATATGTCGTTGAACTGCGCCGCGTCGCCCACGCCATCCGCGTCGCCTCCTTCGCCGCTGCCCGCGAGCGCAGTCACAGCGCCAGTCGCCACCTCTACCCGCCGGATCTTGCAGAAATCCGCCACAAATAGCACGCTGCCGTCGGGGCTGGTGACGCCGTATAGGTCCTGAAACTGCGCTGCGTCGGCCATGCCATCCGCGTCGCCTTCTCCGCCGCTGCCCGCGAGCGTAGACACAGTGCCAGTCGCCACCTCCACCCGTCGGATCTTGTGGTTGTCGCAGTCCGCCACAAACAGCGCGCTACCGTCGGGGCTGAGCGCAATATCGCGGCAATCCTCGCAGGTCGCGACGGTGCGGATGCGCCCGGCCGCCGACACGTGCAGCAGCGAGCCCTCCTTAGTCGAGACGTACCAGCCGCCCGCGCGATCGCTTGCGACGGCACGCAGGAGCGATGCCAGAGGGCCGGCCTCGCCCTCGAGCGCCAGCGTGGTGACCTGGCCAACGACGCGCGCGCCAAAGATGGGCGCCTCGAAGCCACCCGCGACCGGCACAGCCTCGCCCTCCTCCTCGCCGGCGGTGCGGGCGCGCTTTCGGGAGGACACACACATGCGAAGGGGTATGCACAGCGCGCGGGGGTTTCGGTCATTTGTGTCTGCGGCATTTTGTGTGTCGCCGCCGCTCACTCTTACTACAGAATATAGCATCCCGGCCTTCGACCTTCGACCCGGCGGCGGCGGGCGTGCAGCGAGTGCGCCGGCCAGCGCGCACTCGCCGGTCGAAGAAGAGGACGAGGGCGTACCGCGTGCCTCCCGTGTCCCGTCATCGCGCTCACGGCGTGCAGCAGCCGGCAGGAGTGCACGATGGCGTCGCCCTCGGCCCGCAGCAGCGGCTGCACCGCCCCGCCGAACACGCCGAGCAGGCGGCCTGCCGAGGGGGGTCGCTGGGTGGGCGGTAAGCCGTCATTGCCCGGCGCTGCTTGCAGCGCTCTGGGTGGTGGAGGTGAGAGTGGTGCTCTTGGGAAGAGGTTCCTCCTTTCCGCTCCCCCCCCGCAAGGCGCGAGACACACCTCCGTCGTGCGACGCATCGTCCGAGAAGACAAGTCGTGATTTCTTGATGGTTTTCTAAAATCTCTCTCTCTCTCGTCCGAGAGCGCGACATTGAAAGAAAGAAAGAAAGAAGACAGGCAACAAACGAGGGATGGGGGAGGAGGACAGGGTAGCGTGACATTGACCGTCGCCTAGGTTTGCTGTTCTTCTTGTGTTTTTCGAAAGCCTCACGGCGCCTGAACGACGAGGGCGGTGGAGGTAGGTGGAGCAGGGCCGCTCTCGACGACGCTCTCCCCATGAATTGGCTGGGCTTTGGCCGGGCGGCCGATCCCGAGCCGGCCGAGGAGGAGCAGAGCAGTAGGCAGCGGTTGCTAGCTCCGCGCCCAGCTTCCTAGTGCCACGCACGTCACACGCCAGCACTTCACCGCGGGTGCACTGTAGGGTCTCGGCAGAGACGCGCCGCTCCGGCGGCCTCCTCGTCGATCGCCGCCACGAGAGCATCCACCCGCGGGCGCGTCGCGCCCTCTCTCCCTCTCCTCCCTTCACCTCGTCGGCAGACACTCGCCCCACCCCACACGTGTGCGGCGGCGGCGGGCGCTGCGCCGCTGCCCGTGGCAGTCCAGACGGTCGGCGGGATATCGGCCCGCCGCCCGCCAGCCGGCCGCCCCCTGCCGCAGGTGGCTCAGATCGAGGGCGTCTCGCTGGGCAACGCGCTCGAGCGCTTCCGCGCCTCGCCACCGTCGGCGCCCGGCGGTGCGGGCGGCAGCCTCGGAGGAGGGGTCATGGGAGGGACCCGGCAGCTGCGCCGGAGGCGCGACGAGATGGAGAAGCTGCTCTCCGGCTTCAAGGCGTCGTGCTCCGTGGCGGGGCCGTCCAGGCCGCACGGCGCCGCCGGCTCGAGCGAGGCCGAGAGCCTACCCACCCCCTCGGGCGAGTGCTGGTACCGAGCCGGCGCTCGCCAGCGCAGCCGCGGCCCGAGCAGGGGCGCGCAGAGGGCGGGTCCGGGTGGCACCTCGCCGATGGAGCCGCGGCGACGAGGGTGCGTGCCACCCACCCGCCCGCCACCGCCGCCCCGCGCGCTTCGCGTGATGAGACGCCACGCGCCACGCGACACGACACACCGCACAGTTTCGAGTTTTGGGGGCGCAGTGCAAGCCTGAGCCTGATCCGACCTGCGGCTCTAGGCGCGGCGAGAGCTCGCTGCCGCCGCCGCTGCAGTGCGCGACGGCCAGCCCGCGCCGCGACAGCAGGCGGCTTGCTCAGCCGGCGGGGCGGTGCCTTGTAGGTCGGAGGGCACGCCGCAGACGGACTTGCACACGGACCTGCAGACCGATGCGCAGACCGACGCTCCGCAGACCGACGCGCACACTGACGCCGAGGGCTCACGGCGCCCGCGGCGACGGGAGAGCGTCCTCGACGGATTGCGGCGCTTCATCGGCGGCCTCGGCGGCGGCGGAGGCGATACCGACAGCGGCGGCAGAGCGAGAGGCTCTGCTCACCACGGCCTAGACCACGGCGTTGCTGGGGATGACGGGCAGAGTCTCGGGCGGGGCAGTCCGGTGCGTCCCCTCTCCTCTCCGCCTCGCTCCGACCGATCCCTTCCCCCACCGCCCTTCGCGCGCGTGGATCTGACTAGCCGTAGACCGTCACGCGCGCTCTCCACGCGTCCAACGCGGGTGGAGCTGTGGCCTTGAGGGGCCCGCGGTGTGTGAGACTACAGGCCAGCGCCGGCTCGTCGCTGCTCGACGAGGCTCAGAGAATGGTGTCGGAGCTGCGAGCCGCAGGCGCAAAGCACGCCCCCGCCGCTCCGCTGCCAGACGCCTCGATCCGCCGATACCGCACCGCCGCCGTGGCCGCGCCGCGCCGCGTCGCCGACCGACCCTTGAGCTCGACCCTTTAGCACACCCCGTGTGTCCCTACTACACCCCTCTCCCGCCTCCGCGCCTCTCCTCTCGCAGGCCGGGACCGCGACGCGGACGCCCTGCGGAAGAAGCTGCGCCGTGCCGAGCGGGCGCGGGCTTCTCCCCCGCTCCCCCCGCGCGAGTCGCGCGCCGCGGTAGAGGCTGGCATGCCGGCGGGCGGAGACAGGCGGCGCGGCCGGCGGCGGCCAAATGGCGTCGGCGACGAGCAGCAGCACCGGCACGCCCGCGCGGGGCGCAGCTCCGGGGAGTTGCCGCAGGGGGATCCTACGCAGGGAGGAGGAGCAGCTGCGCCTTGGTACCGCGCCGGAGCGCACCAGCAGCAGCTCGCACGGACCGAGCGGCGGCTGAGAGTGCCTCACCGCAGCCGAGGGCGGCGTGAGCCCTCCCGTCGCTCGCCGCCTCCTGCGCCGTGGTGGCAGGCAGAGCTGCGACGCCCTCTGCGGGGCCCGAGCTTGCAGCCGAACTCGCACTCGGGGAGCCTTGGTGGCGTCACCGTCGACAGCGGGGACGAGGTCTTGAGACCCGCCCCGCGGAGATTCTGATCTCTTGAGCGCGTTTTAGAGTAGAGGGTGAAGGAATATGCAGTCACAGTCAGAGCGCGCTCACAGTTATACTCGAGACTGTTTAAAGTGACACGGGGGTTGGTGGACGTCTCTGGAGGTGGAGACAACTTCAACACTACTTCACAAGTCGACAGACGACACCCTGACCCTCGACACCCTTTCTCCTGAGTCCTTGTCACATTCAGGCCACAGTATCCACACACCACACAGACTGCACCTGCATGGTAAAGACTAAAGTCACAGTGTAACAGACAGAGCGCACGACCCTGCGTATCTTCATTATCATTTTGGCAGCTGACACCTCTACTACTACTTCCGAGGACGTTCAGAGCAGCTCGAGGTTCTCTCGCTTGAGCGTCACGTCTTGGCCCGAGTGCGCGTCGAGCTGCACGAGATAGCGGCCGCGGGACTGGTCCCATGACCGGACCGTCCCGACGCAGCCATTGAACTCTGGGCGGCCCGTCAGCTTGACAGCTCGAACACGCCGCCCGACCATCTCATTGCCCGTCACGACCTTGGCCTCGCCAACAGGCACCGCGACCGGCAAACCCATCGGCACATCAGAAGCCGGCGGGGCTGACGGCGGCGGCGGCGGCGGGAGGAGGAAGTCCGCGGCGGCGGCGGGGCTTGCGAAGTGCTTGACGAGCGAACCTTTGCCCTTTGGCTGCAGATCGACAGGCCGACTCGCGTCTCGCCCCGCCGCGCGCGCGAGAGACCAGAGCTGCGCCGCAACCTCGTCGCGAGTGCCGCCCGTCCAACGAAGCGGATTCTTGGCAGCGAGGCCCCGCGTGAGAGCCGTCCCCGAATCAGCCCACATCCACTCCCACGTGTCCTCAGCCTTCTCGACCGCCGACACCGCCGCGGCCGCCGGGGCCGCCGGGGCCGCCGGCGGCGGCGCGTTGCTGTCCGGGTCGTCGAGTCGAATGCCGGTGAGCGCTTGGATGCGGTCCGCCGCCGCCGCAAAGCTGCTGCTCTCGGCGGGCGGCCCGGCGGCCAGAGCACTCGCCAGATTGGAGATGTACTCCTCGCCGCCGTGGTGGGCGAGCAGCTCCGAGGAGAAGGCCTCGTGCAGGTGGAGCACGTCGGCGCGCTGCTCGCACGGCACCGCGACGACGTCGGCTTTGGCCGCGATCCAGAGCAGCTCGGTTTGAGGGAGGTGCGAGTAGCCCCCCAGCGTCTGCAGCGCCGCCTGGGCCTGGCCCACCATCCCCGCCTGCGGCGGAGGAGAGCGAGGCTGTGGCGAGGGCTGCGGCGGAGGAGGCGCCGAGGCGGGGCCGGGAGCGGCGCCTTGGCCGCGAGCATCGTGCGCAGTAGCGGCAGGTCCGACCCGAGGGAGCGAGGCACCGCGTCCGACTTGTTCACCACGACCATCACTCGTGCCGCGACGGCGGCGGGGTGGCAAGACGTGGGGCTCGAAGCGGAGGACGACGACGCGGCTGTGGGCGCGGCGGCGGGCGCAGCGGCGGGCGCAGCGGCGGGCGCAGCGGCGGGCGCAGCGGCGGGCGCGGGGGCCGTGGGGGTGTAGAGGACCGCTGGTGCGCCCACCGCGACAGCGGTGACACGTCCGCGAAAGGTGGCGGGCACGAATCCGGCGGCGAGGAACGTGAGCGCGAGAGAGCCGCCGAGCGAGTGGCCGAAGATGAGGAGCTCCGGCGCCTCGGGCGTGAGCAGGCTCTTGAGCTTCTCGTGCAGCGCCGGATCGTCGCGCACGCCGCTGAGGAAGCCTCCGTGGAACTGCCTCCCGTCGTGCGTCCCGGGCGTGACCAGGAGGTCACGCGCGACGTCGTGGAGAGAAAAGGTGCCGCGAAACACGAGGAAGACGCGTCGACCAGCGTCCCGCGCAATGTACCACTGCGGTGACTGGTGCTCACCGCCCAGCCCACATTGTGGCGAGAAGTGCAGCAGCCGCAGGCCCGAGGCGCATGTTGTAGGCACCGCGCTGAGCGCAGCCTGCAACTCCGCGGCGTCAATGGAGTAGGCGGCCTCGGAGAGTCGAGCCGCGAGGAGAGCCAGTGCCAGCTGGTCAGCCGATGCTCGGGGCATCGTCGCCTGCTTCACCTTGCGCAAAACTGCTCCAGCCACCGTGCCGAGCCCTGCGGAGGCCGCGCCCTTGACGGTGCTCCATCCTTTCTCAGATCCCGGCCCGTCCCCCTTCTCCGCGTGCGCCTCGAGCGCAATCTCTCCCACCGCCTTTGCGGCCTGTAGCACGCTCGCCCATGACATCGCCAAGCCAGAACTCGCCAAGCCAGCCGCCGACTGAGACGATTCAGCGAAAAAAAACTTTCATAAAAACTTCGAGACCTGCGAAAAGAGATACGAAGAGGCAGACTCCCCAGGGTGGGCGACGGCTAGCGCACCACACTCCTCTCCTTAAAATCCCTGTGTGGTGGCGGCGTGCCGTTCTCCCATCCCTCCCTTGGGTTGTGTGTTTTCTTTTCTTTCTTTTTCAAAAAAACTCCAGAAATTCGCACGCGCGTGCTCCAATACTCGAGTAGCTCGAGGGCGGGGGCTACAATACGATACGGAGGCAACAACTCAAACGGCGCGCGAGGGCGCCCCCTTCCCCGCAACAACTCCTCTTGCCAACAACAATAATGCCAATGCCCCGCCGCCCACAATATTTTACTCTCGCGTTATACAGCGCCCTGGTGTGGGCCGAGGGGTGATGAGACCCCACCTACCCAGCGAGGCGGGTAGGCGAGGAGAGGCACGCCTACCGCCCGGCTCAAGTGCTCGTACGGGGTGATTAGGCCGGCAACGGCTCATTTTGGCCCTGGCGCCGGCACCCAGCCTGTGTCGCTGGAGGTGACATCCACCTTCGTCTGGATGATCGGCGCTCCAGGGGTGTCCGGATTGACCCAGTCGGCCGCGAGGGAGGCGCTGCCACCCAACTGCGGAGGCGGGGAGGAGAGGCCACGAGCAAGGTGTGGGTACAAGAACATAAGGGCGCAGGGTCCAGGCGTCGGCGCACATTAACCGACGCCCAGATGCCGCCCGACTGCTTCTTGGCGACAGAGCAGCAGCAGCACGCGACCACCTTGGACATGCTCTTGTCGCTCCCCATCGCCTCGTTGCCCATGGCCGCGATATCCCACTTCGAGTTGGTCTGGATCTCGAGCATCTGCTGGTAGGTCATCACCTGGTTCTGGAGCAAGGCGTAGTTGCCCGCGAGATCAACCTCCTGAGATGGAGGGGGGGGGGGGGGGGTATTGGGGGGCATTGGGGGGGGGGGGGGCAAAATCCCGCGGGGGAACCCCCCCCAACCCCTGGACGGGTCAAAAGTTTTCCCTTTTTGGAGTCTTTTCTCCCCCAAGGGAAAACCCC